AGTTCTTAATTATATGAATTAAAAATATTTTCCAGCTATGCCCAACTGCTTCTGCAAAACCATAGAATGCCCATTTTCCTTAGCAGTATACCTGTTATTTGCTTATTCAAAGTCTTTGCTTATCTATGAAAAGGCAGCTTAGAACATACAACATTTTGTTTCATTTTTTAAAAAGTCTCTTGACCTCACAAATTATGCTCATCAGAACTTTGGACAGCTTTCGAGTTTCATTAGGCTACATTAAACCTATACAATCTGAGAGGGATGTAGGAGATTCTCCTGTTTTCATTGTCCTTTCATGGAACTTGATGGATTTTTTTTCTGTGTGCCCTCTTCCTTTCAAAGGGGGAGGCATAGCTGCTAGAGGATACAAACATTTTGCTTCAGGCATCATCAGCGAGAGATAAACCAATTAGCCTTTTCTTGCCAGAGTTTTCATAGACTCATAAATAAAAAGTATTTTCTTGTTTTTTTTCAATCATCTACAGCATTATTCAGTGCATTTTCAGAAAATAATATAAAAGTACAAAACTGTAAAGGCTTGATTCCATCTTCCCTGCTATAAAAACAAATGAATGTATGAATTCGGAGCAGGAATAGGCTATTCATCCTATCAAGCCTGTACCAACATTCAGTTAGATTGTGGTTGATCTATCCAATAATTCATTGGATTGACTATAACAGTAGCCTGCCCTCTGTCAGTGCTTCCCAAACGTTTTCCCATTGTGACTGTATTTTGAGAATTAAAAGTTGGTGCTACACCTCTGAGCATTGAGGCTATGGGGAGGGAGGTGGAAAGACTTCTGAAAGCAGGGGGCAGGATTCAAAAAATCTATAAAAGGTGGGGCAGTGGGGAGCAAAGGAATAGAAATGCACACTGATCGTTGATGCTTCTGAGCTCACAAACTCAAAGTTTCAGCTTGTAACACAGCTTGAGGACCTGGCCCCAATTTTGGGCAATCCTGCCTAACATGTTTTCTATTCCTTGCATTAAATTTACATTAAACTGTGTGCTTACCATCTGCTATAACTGAGATTAAATTCTGGAGTGTGACTCAATCCCTAACATATTAACAAGACTACCTGGTTCTGTAAGTCTCTGCCAAACTTGAAACTTGAAACTAATGAGGCTTTAATTTAACACAGTTCTGGGGTTTCCTGGTCACCAGATTAAAATCTTTGCTGAACCTAGCCTATGCCTAGTGTCAGTTTTGTTTTTTTTTCTGCAATGCCTGGATCTGCATGCTGTAATGTAGTGATCAAGATTGTAATTGGAGTGGTAGATTAGTAAACCACCTCTGTATGGCTTCCAACACATCTTCATTCTTCCTGAAATAAGTGTGACCAGGTCTGTGAACAGTACTCTAGGTATAGTCTAACCACTTTGCTGAATAACTGAAGCACAACTTCAACTTTTATCTTCAATTCCTTGTAATAAATGATAGTATTGCTATTTTGCTAAGTACTTGCTGTTCCTGCATACTAACCTTTTGTGATTCATGCGTGAGAGCACTCACATCCCTCTGCATCTCAGAGCTCTCCAATTTCTCATCATTTGGTAATGTGTTTTTTTTTAATTCTTCCTGCCAAAATGGACAATTTCACATTGTTCTACATTTTACTCCATTTGTCACATCTTTTGCCAACTCACTCAACTTATCCTTATCATTTTGTAACCTCCTTGTGTCCTCCTCAAGCAGGGTTGCTAAATTTTGATAAAGGAAGTGAGAAACTTGCTTGCTGCCATTGTTTGAACTTGATATTCCAAGAATTTTCTAAATGTGTCCCATTCATACCTGAAGATGTATCACCATTAATCCAGTTTTTTGTAATCCATGCAATCTTGTGTTTTTATGTGTTTACGTAATTAGTCTCTGTTATTCGTTACATTCCAAAGAGAGAGACTGTCTTGTCCTACCTTGTCCTTGTAGAAATTGGTTTAGATATGAGGTACCAACTGGCATTGTCATTACATTTAACGATAGCTTTTTATAATCTATCAATCCAGATTTTTGTTTCACAAGTATATCATATAAGCAGTGAAGTTTGATTAACAGGATGCTGCTGCAGATGGCACACTTGTGTTGCTTTATTATGTGCAGCAATGTTGTGTTTGTGTTACAAAAGCTTTGTGCTGTTTTTGCTTGTGTTATGAACTTAGTAAGTTAATTCATAAAAATGATTGACACAAACTATCCTTGTATGTTGGATATGAAGTTTGTCATCCAGTCTGTAATGCTATTATAAAAGTTACTTCTTGTTCTATTTTATATGAAGTCGATAGTTCCAGTCTAGTAGGAGCAGCGTATAACCCAATTTAAATTACCTAATGTTAGTTGATTTTTTTTTAATATAGTACCTGAACCCATTGATTGGGTTGTACAATCATCAGCCATTATCTAATTGATTGATGGAGAGACTCAGGAGAATGAATTGTACTACCACTGCTCAAATTTGTTTCCATGTATTTTCCTTCCTGTATTTTCTTTCTTTATTGGCTTGAAATTTGTGACTCTAGAGTTGGGAAAACTAAGTAATTTTTGTCATAACTGTATTGGGACTTCACACAAGTTGAGTCCATGCTCCATCAGTGTTGTACTGTTAAGATTCCTCTGGAATGCAATCCCAAAGCAATCAGTGAATTGATTAAAAAATTCACTTTGCCTCTGTAAGTCTTGCAGAAAAATACCTCTCAATTTTTTTTACACTTTGAATGAGATCTAATTGAATTTTCAATATGAATTAGGTGGTATAGGCTATTTGTTTTCGTCAGCCTTCTTCATAAACTGTGTACTAACTTCATCATTACGTCCAAATCCTCTCTGTGGCCCTGAAAATGTGACTTTATAATGGTTGACTTTCAAATGTTCATCTTACAACAAAAGAAATTCATTATTTGTTCATATCAAAATATTAGTTTTTATCTTGTTATCTGAAAATTGAAAAAAAAGTGAGGACTGTGGTGCTTTTAACTTGTTGGCATGCAATCAGTGGGAATTGGCTAATTGGCAACATGCCTGGAGATCCTTCAATTTGGCACGAATTTTTAACTCCCACAGGAAAGGGGAACCTAACACCACCAAGATTTTAGTGGGAAACTTGCTTCAAGTCAGGGGCAAGTGCATTTGCTTCACTACTGATTGAAAAAATTGAGCCCATAAACTGTGGAAGCTTCCTGATATCCTCCTCTCCTCGGTCAGATTCTGTGATTTTGATTGCTGGATCATGAAATAAAGTTACATAATACAAATTGCATCATTAAAACACTTCAAGTTGACACTTGATTTTCATCATTTAAGAACGTTTACTTTATGCCGCTCCATAGTTAATTAATGCTTAATTAAGGAAATCTTACTAATTTTACTAACATTAATTTCATTGAATATTGAACTGAAATGTTCATGGTGAAAAGCAGTTAGCTTTATAATTTTCTATCATAGAATCCTACAGTTTAGATTACGGAAAGAAGCCATTTCACTCATTGTGGCTTTGGTTTTGCTTGCTGAAATGCCATGTTCTTCCTTTATTTCCGCTCTTCATGTACTTGTCCATTCCAGACACCTAAGTCTTCTGTAAGTGACTCTTTTGACTCTATGCTGTTGCCATTATGAAGCATTCCACTTCGCAATATCCGAACTGTTTTAGAAAATATGAAAAATCTCCCCAGTGATTTTGCTGCTGTTTCTAGTTATATCCTGAATTTCTTCACCTTGTTATACAACTATCAATTAATGGAAACAATCATTTACTACTTCCCCTCACAAAATATTCAAATCAATGAAAACATTTCCAATCCTGTTAAAAATGTTCAACCTTTGAATTCAAAAGACATTCACCTATTTATATGCATCTGGGCAGTAGATATCTGTCTTGCTGTGTGGCTATACTCTCTTCTAGAAACCCAGCAAGTATGTTAAGTGGTACAAACAATAACTACCTTATGCATTTTTCTATTCACTATCCAACTTCTGCAAGAAATTGCATTTGCAGAGTGTGGCTGTCTGTCTTCTCACCATATGTATCAATCCGATACATGTTATTGATTTTTATATCAATCTCCATCACACTCATTGTTAGAATATATACATACAAATCCTGATGACCATATTAAACTTTCCCATAACAATTAGGGAATATAATAAGGTGCTACAAATAATTAAAGACTAATAGAAATTATTATCCTTGGTTGTCTGACTAGTGTTGGAACAAGGTACGCTAACGGAAAAAAAAACTAAGAATTTTGTCATAAGTGAGCATACTATTCAAGAATTTGTTATATATTGGCAAAAATGACAGAAAAAATTGATACTTATTTTTGGTATTTAATTGCATCAATACTGTTGCAAGGTTAATTAAGAAGTAAAAGATTGTTCATTTAGAAAATGTCAGCTGAGTCAAAATCATTGGAACGTTGTTTTAGCCAGTGACTAATTTCAAGCTAATCAACTGATCATCGATAGTGACCTTTTGTTTGACATGATCATCCATGGGACATTGCTATAACTGATGTGGTTTAAGTGGCTTTGTTGTTTTTAATATCTAGAATGTCCATTATTTCATTGACATAATATTTCTGTGCAAAGCAGCTTACTTGAATGCAAGCTATTCTGCTCAAATATATATTGTTTTCTTATACGTGGATATATTTTTAATTTTTCTCCTGTTGAAATGGATTCATTGCGAAGACAAATTATCAATCCTGATGTATTATATAGTGCATGTAAGAAATGTGCAATCAATTTTATTTATTCATTTACTTTAATGACTGATATCTGGAACATAATTATCCACTTTCATTCTGTACCCATTATTTCTATTTTATTTGCAAGCACTTAATTGCATGAAGTGTAAGATTAATTTTTGCATGATTCATTTGCAGTAAAATGCTAACCAAAGATGATCAGTATCAAATACAGCTAGCATTTGCTTTGTTGATTGTAACTGATTCCACACTTCTATTCACCAATAATTCTTTCTTCACTGTCTGATTTGCTTGCCAGGAGGAGCTACTATTCTTATTCTTATTACCTGTAAGTAGCCAATAGAAGCAAGTCTGTTGTTATTTTAAACTTAATGGGGTATTTGGGTACAAATGGTAAGTTTTGACACAAATGATCCTGTACTGAATCCAATTGGCTGTGAAGAAAGGTAATACACAGAAAAGAGGTCCTATTTTACTAAATATGTAGTTTAATTTAAAAGGGAAGCCCCCAAACCATTTTTAGTAAATTCAATAAGTATCAGTAGCTGACAAATAATTTGGACTTTTGGATGTGGTTAGAATTGAGATTTAACATGAAACATCAATTTTACATTATTTCAGACCAAAATGTCGAGATGATCCACTCATAGACCACTTAATTAAAATCAGTCTTCATAGCTGCTCTATTTCGGCTGCGATCAACATTAAATGTCAATGTGCATAAAATGACAGGGTTTCCGCTTGTACCTCATTAAGAACTGTTAACTTTACTGAGTGACATTTTTATGACAACAAACTCAAATGAATGTGATGACTTACTCTTTACTTGTCAGATGGAGCACTGCGTAATGCTTAATTTTACAGTGTGCACATAAATGGTTTTAAAGTAATTGAAATAATTTGTAAGTCAACGAGAGTAGGGAGTTTCCTCATGAAATATGATCATTCTGAGTGTCCAAACATAAACTCAATGGTGTTCCTCTAACAGGCTAGTATTTAAAATAGAACAAAAAGAAAGCTAAAGACTTATTGGGGAATAGTAAAATTATACTGTGCTCAAAATCAAGAATTTTACAAGTCCGCAAAACACTGAACAAGCAAAATAAAGATTCCACCAAATAAATAGTGCTCAAAAATCTTTATCGGTAGCAGCCTTCCCTCTCGTAAGCTGAGGGTTTTTATCCCAATGGTGGTGTCTGAAGACAGTAGGTTAAGAAGATGGATGATTCATTGGCTTCTCTTTCCTCTGGGCTCTTTTCATGGCCATCTGCCCTTTTTGTTTCTGCTCTGTTCTTTAAACATTCTTCCAAGACGTCAGCTTTTAGAGATCAAGGCCATCAACAACTGACTCTTCTTTTGTTAGTGCTAGTTATATATCTTTATATTTTGTTGGAAGTTGTCTTTATAGTGCAGGTAAAGCTGTCAAGAAGATTGTGATCCCCATTGCCAATTCAATGTAGAGAGTTGTTTAGATGTAGGGTCATAATCCATCCAATAAATATGACCAAGTGAGTGCCGATATCATTGGCTGAGCAACAAGTATGCGCTGATGGAACTGGCGCATTCTGGGATCTCTAAATTGGTAACAGTCTTCTGATAAGAGATGTCATGGATACATCTGAGACAGAAAGGAGGGAAACGGTTTGTCCTGAAACGAGATATCAGCTACACAAAACTTGTGATGGCAACAAAGCTCAAGTAATATTTGCCCATTCTCATCTTTTTTTCCCAGACCAGGGTGCCTGAGTCACTCGTATTGAAATCCCCCAGTAGGTAACAACGCTTTGACTGAAGGTTTCAGCTGAAGGCACCCAGCTTCTCATTGAAGTGAATTTTGAGCTTCTATACTGGATCAGTGCATTGCGGCATAGGTATTCATGAGGTTAACTGCTCCTGTTTAAGTTGAGATCCAAATTGAGAGATCAGGTTTTTCAATCATTTGTGGAGTGTTCCATTATCGAGAGTAGAAATTGTAAAAGCAACAAACACCTATACCTGATTACATATTTTCTCTGGGCTTTTCCCCTGTCAGCTGAATATGTATTGTTTTACTTTCAGTAATTCCTTGCAACAAACTGGTTTCTTGGAGGAAATCTGTCTCAGTATTCAGCCTTTTGAGTTTCACACCAATTACTGCTATCCTGAGTACATTACACACCAGCTACAAGTCAATTTGTCAATCCCATGGACATGGTCCTGACATTCCTGTTTGCCTATTCAAGAGTTGGCATCTTCACCTGGTGTGATGGATCATCTCCACTTGTTGAGCAGACACTGTAAGCACCAAATCCCATTTGAAGCAGATGGACTGAGGGTTCAGCACCTTACTGGTTGCAGGGCTGCTGGGTGAATTGGCCTTTCCCACTATCAGAAACAACCTGGAGCACATGTTTGCTGCACCAATCAAATTGGGCTTCTTGCTGATAACTGCTGTTTCCTGTGCATTGTTAACTGTCAATGAAACTAGAGTGACCTCTCCATTGCATAGACTTGGGTAAATTTATGGAGGTACTGGGTTGCTAAATCCTCCCTGATAGAGTTCAAATAATTACATTTGCCATTGGCTCGGTTGCCGGAAAGGTCACTTCTTTAGGCATCTGTTTCCACTCCATTTTTTTTTAATCAGCGTTTACTACCTCGGCCTTTAACTCTCCCGAGGTGTCCACGAGATAGTGGAACTTCTCGTCCATAGCCGGGAGCTGGGAGTCCCTGAGCGCCAGGGAGTGTATACGTGCATGTATCATGTCTGGGGCAAACCTCTTAACAGGTTCGTCTGAAACTGTAGCCTGGGGCAACGAGGAACTCATTTTCCATTGTGGCCATGAGAAGGCACAGCTGAAGGCTTGCTGCTGGAGAAGCTGTGTACTGTTGGGGAGACCCAGATGATTGGTTCCTCTTCAATCCGCTCCAAGTTAGGGACTGAACTGAGAATGAGAAGGAAACTAGCACATGAAAGCTGAAAGTATATGAACTCTCTTAGTATACATCACGTTGACCTGGATACACACCTTTAATTAATTATAAAACTAAGGTTCATTTTAGCGAAGCATGATTGGTTTCACAGTATCACCTGCATTGTGATTTTCTTTCTGTATCCCATCTGTGCTTGCACCACTGACTTGTGTATGTTCCTCAGCTTTTCCATTTAAGAGTTTTCTTTTGTTTTGTTTTGTTAAATAATGAAAACTGGCTGTAGCTCATTCAATCTCAAATAGGTACTAAATTATTTTCTTTTATCTGGGGAGAGAACGCATAGGAAGTACTTGGCTGGAAATAAAACAGTGCAATTGAAATATGCCACATGTTCTCTGGAGTCCTAGAGAGAGATTGTCAGTAGTTTGAACAGAGAATTAAATTACTGAAAATAAATTTTCATTTGAAACCTTGACACGCATAGATAACATTGTATTATCTTTTGGATTTTGTGTCAAAGCTTATGAATTTGGCCTCTTACCCTTGACATCTGTTGTTTTAGTGTATGCTAAATGTGAAATGCAAGAATCAATGAAAGATCTGAGGAACTGCCATTTATTTTGTTTTTGAACAATGTATATTTATTTAATCTGAATGCCTTGTTGTGAATAACACCCCCTACAACACTTTTTAAGGTTTCCATTATCCCACACATGATGTTTGATGGCTTGAATGATAGTTGTTTTACAAAAACAGCTAATCAGTTTGTAAAATGGTAAAGAAATGCATGATAAATTAATACTTTTCATATGGTAGTTACAGTTGTAAAATTGTTCAGTTTGAGCCTTGTCATTGCCCGAAATAATCTTGTCGATCCATACAAACGATATCACTTGTATGTTAGCGTAGCAGAGTCATCTTCTCCAAGGGAGTTAACTTGTTTATAGAGTCACATTTATCATTCAGTAATCAAATCACTCACCCCATTAATCAGATCAGTGATGGGGATTGTCAAACCAGAACCAACAGCAGCCAGAGTCAATGTAAAATGTCTTACTGTCCACAGCCTCTTTTTTAAAAAATAACAGGAAATGAAATCAAAAGCAGGATTGGAAATTGTCAAAATAACAGGAATTGTATTTTGCACATTTTTCATATTAAGGTCTGATAATTTGTTTCAAAAAACAGGTTTCATTTGAAGTAATTACATGGCATGAAAATTTACCTATCTATTTATTACATGGCAGAAATTTAAGATTTAATTGTGTTCTTTGAGCACAACTGCTCATTTAACTCAAAATCAAGGATCTTCCAAACATATGTGAAATGGACAATAATTGGCCACACCATTCCCAAATGTATAAACCAGATGCAAATAACTCCTGTCCTTCCATTTGTGCAAAGCACTTGTTGACCTATATCCCTATCAAAATTGAGATTGATACGTTTTTGTTGTTTGAGACTGTGAAGGGATATAGAATAAATGCAAAGTGTTGGGGTGCAGATCAGCAATGATCTAATGAAATGGCAGTACTAGCTTGAGAGACTAAATGGACTACTCCTGCTCCTATGTTATTTGACCGTTTGGATGTGTGACTTTAGAGTTGTGGTTTTGTATCATTTGCAAAAAAAATTATCTTCACCAGTGCTAATACATCTATGTGCTGTGAAATTTGGGAAAAAAGAGATTATTTTGTTGATAAATAATTCATAATGTAAAACATCTGAGCAATAATCGAATTCTTTTATCATGCGGTCAAAAAGTAAAGGCAGACTAGTGTTTGTACAGTTCTTTCTATTGTCAGCTGTGGCTCAGTGGGTAACATTCTTCTCTCTTGAATCAGAAGATTAAGGGTTCAAGCCCCAGTCCAGGATCTCAACTCCAAAATATAGTCTGAAAATTCAGTGTTGTACAGAGAGAGTGTTGCACTGTCAGAAGTGCTGTCTTTCATGTTAAATTGAGTTCAGGTCCACCCTCTCAGGCAGAGTAAATGACCCTGTCACACTATTTAAAAGAAAATAGGGAAGTTTCCTTTGGTATTATGGCCAGTATGTATCCCTTAATCACAGAAACAGATCATCTGAATTCAATCATATTGCTACAAAAGACATATACACAAGTCTTTTCCTTATGAATGCAATATCCAAAGCACTTGACAATCAATTAGATAGACAAGGTCATTCTTTGGATTTTGCTTTTTTTTTAAATTTGGTTTCCTCTATAAAAGATGGAAGTGTTTGTCCCATAAAGTATATCAAATCTATATGTTAAGCCTAAATATTTGCCGTACGAAAACTGTGCTTGAAAACTGTTTAGTTTAATTATTTGCTTTTGTGGATTACAGTAAACTTGCAAAGAAACGCAAGGATGCAGTAGGGAATGCTCGCCAAGAGATGACTCATATGGTGAATGCAATGGACAGGAGCTATGCTGATCAAAGCACACTTCATGCTGATGAGCCCCTTTCGATCAACTTTATGGACTCTCACAACTTCAGTCCTAGATGTAAGTATTATATGTTTAACTATTACTGTGTAAAACACATCTTTGAAAAGGTAGATGGAGATCACATCAGGGCGTTTAAAAGGTATAGACATGTATTTTTTAAGAAGCACCAAAATATCCAGTTAGCAAAAGACTAAACTAACACTCATGGATTCTCAAAAAATACAATTATGTAAACTGAAAATTGAGGTCAGTTACACAAGGTATCTTCGCAATCTGGCAAATTCAGAAAACAGAGTGGAGTCAAATCAAGGGGTCAGCGAAGGTGTGTGTGCAAGATTTGAGGCAACACAAATGCCGGGAGCCCTGCCCTTCCCAGGACCTGATTCTGGTGTGTAGAACAGAATTATGTATTCCAGCACCAACCCAGCAATCTGCAGGATGGGACCACGTTTGCATGTGGTTTACCAGGATGTTGCTGGGATTAAAGGATTTGAATTATATGGCGAGGCTGGACAGGCTTGGACTTTTTTCACTGGAGCATAGGAAGTTGAGGGGTGACCTCATAGAGGTTTATAAAATCGTGTGGGGTATACATAAAGTGAATAGCAAAGCTCTTTTCCCCAGGATGGGGAGTTCAAAACTCGGGGGCATATTTTTGAGGTGAGAAGAGAAAGATTTAAAAGGGACCTGAGGGTCAACTGTTTTCACACGAAGGGTGGTTTATATGTGGAATGAGCTGCCAAGAAAGTGGTAGATGCAAGTACGGTTATAACATTTCAAAGATGTTTGAGTAAGTACATGAATAGGAAAGGTTTACAGGAATGTGGGTCAAACACAGACAAAGGGGACTAGTTTAGTTTGGGAAACTTGTTTGGCATGAACAAGTAGGACGAAAGGATCTGTTTCCAAGCTGTATGACTCTAAGCACAGGTAAAATTAAGGTCCAGCATCTGATGTCCAATTGCTGCAACACCGAGAAAGTCAAAAGCCTGTCTGCCATGGACAGTGGATGTCCAGGACCCCCAAATTTCCATTGGGGCTGACCAGAAAATGCTCCCTATTCTTCAAAGGTCCAACAATCTACCTTCCCTGAGCACCTAACCCTGAGCCCCTTCTGCAGTGCACCAATTTCCAACTCACTTCACTGCTGAGCCAATGCAGGGGGAACTCCAGCAAAGGATATCCCAGTTACTTGTGCTGTGAAGACAGCGACTTTCATTTCCTCATTCCTTGACTTCTGTTGGTGCCATGAATGATGTCTCAGTGAACCTTGAGGTCAAGTCTATTGCCTGAGTTATTAAGTGCTACAAAAGTATGGTGTGCCTGTTATTACAACATCTTATCTGACATAGTTTAAAAAGGTGATAGATTGTATTGACCTTTCTTCTTTGCTTGGACCTGAAAAAAAAATTGCATTCATATTTCGACGATATCCTGAAGGCCTAAAAAGCCAAGCAACTACATATTGAAGTGCAGTCACTGGACTTGGAGGCCAAAGCAGCACTTAATTTGCACACAATAAGATCTTTAAAACAGCATTGAGAAGCTTTATTTGTACTTTGGATGTAGCTGAAACCATAGCATCTTTTTACATCCAGTTGAAATGGCACAACCAAAAGACAGAAATTGTTTTAATTCCGTGCTTATTCTGGTGTCATACCAAAACTTGCTGTGTAAACATTGGTATCGATGGAAAAATAAATATAACAAATGAGAAAAACATAACTTCAAAATAATTTTAGAAAAAATTATAAAAAATCTTTTCATGTGACACAATGCCTGATTAAAATAATGGGACTAAACAATAAATTGTGTGGGGTCGGGGGGGTGCGGCAGTGTCAAGTAAGAAGCAAAAGAGAGAGAAAAAAGCTTGGGGGAACATTAGCAAAAGAATTTGTGTATCCTGGACCTAACATTTGTATGGGGATTGCACTTTATGATGTCCTGTGGCACGGACCTGACCAAGGTTTGTGTGAGGGCATTTAATTACCATTGGGCACTCGTATAGGAGCATTTCCAGCGCCCACTTAAAGTTTTTTTCCAGATTTTTTTATTGTAGGGCATTCCTGGCTCACCAGTCACTGCTTCACTGGAGTTGGATAGACAGCAATTTTTTAAAATATTCTTGTATGGATTATGGGGTCACAGGCAAGGAGATATTTGTTGCCCATCCTTATTTGGTCTTCAGTTGATTGGCTCTCCAGGCCATTTCAGACATTGCTTAGAGCCTGTAATTTCCGGTGCCTCATCCATGTCAGACAGTCTATCTGGTTTTATTTGTTTTTTTTTTTGAGGACTTTTAGTGGTTAGATGCAACTGAAGAACTTGGTAGGCTGTTTCAGAGGGCAGTTATGAATCAACCACATTGCTATGGGAAGCCAATCAGCCATTGGGCCATTCAGTCCATCCTGTCTGGACTGGCTCTCCAAATGAGCATCATGAATTTATACCTCCTTCTGCTCTTTTTCCCCCATACCCTTGCCCATTGTTTCTATTTTTAAAACAAATCATCCAACACTCTCTTGAATGCCTCAAGTGTGGCTCCACCACGCTCCCAGGCAGTGCATTCCAGACGCGAACCACTTGTGTGAAAAAGATTTTTGTTTGCAATATATTTGCTTCTGTTGCAAATCACTTTAACTCTATGTTTGTCCTTGAACATTGTTTGATGTTTGATACACCGTTTTTTTCAGTTGCTTCCCTGTTGTCTAACTCCCTAGAACTGCATTCATTCTCATAACATCAGCTTTGTATGTACTGCCCATCTATAGTTGTCCAGAGACGATGGTGGTGGGTGCAATCTTATAATCTTATAGCCGTGTGCTGTTGGTGTTCTCTTAGTGCTCTTAGGCAGGGGGGTGCAAGGTTTGACCCACTGAGAATAAAGAAGTGACAAAGTATGCCCAAATCAGGACAGTATACGTTACTTGAAATTAATGGTGTTCCTACATACTTACTATATGTCTACTCAGAAAGAGAAGATTCTAAGAGATGGATAAATCAACAGTGGCTTATCAAGAAAGTTAAAATTCATAAGGGCTTTGATAGGGTAAATGCTAAGAGAGGATGTTTCCCTAATGAGAGAGTCTCTAGGAACAGAGGGCATAGGCTCACAATTACTGAGTGCCAGTTTAAGTCTGAGGGTTTAGAGTCTTTGGAACTCCTTGCCATGGAGATCTGTGAGGGCCCAGACCTTGTGTATATTTAAGGCTGAGATAGATGGATTCTTGATCACGAGGGAAAAAGCAGGAGTGTGAACGTGAGGCATGTCTGATCAATCTTGAGCCTGCTGCGCTACTCTAAAGGATCGAAGAGCAAACGGCTTACTTACCCCTTTGCTATTTCTTGTGGTCTTATCAGAGACATATGGGGGAACTTCTCAGCAATTTGGAAACAGCACGAGAGTAAAGGAGAAAGAGAAAGGTTTGTGGTGATAATGGATGCAGACTAGCAATCAGGAAGGATGAAAAGATCATGAAGCAAAAGGTTTTGAGTTATGTGTTTGGAGAGTTGAGTGGGCTGGGGAAGCCAGTTGTAGGAAAAAATGTTCTTGAGTGGCTAAGGTGAGCTCTTATGTTGTATTATAGAGAAAAATGCTTGGCTACTTTATCCTTCTGATCTCATGTCTGTTCAGCTGCCTGGTTTCCAAAGCTCTGGGAAACATGGCAGTCCTCCATTAGATAAAACCACATTCTCACCTTCAAAGGTAGGAGCTCTGGTGTAAAAAAACCTCTCACTTTGGAAACAGGAGATAGACCTGGAGGGTGATCCCTGCTGTGAAAATTGTGGCAGGTAGACAGTGTGGGTCATGTTACACTTTTGGTAATCTTTAATCCTCCACTATCCCCAGGCCCCTTCTTGACCATTGTGATGGGTAAATTTCAACTGAGCTGTCAGGATCCAGTTAACAGCACACTTGCCTCTAATTCACAGGATTATAAATTCGAGCTTTACTCTGCAGTCTGAGCACAGAAAATTCATTTCAGTGCTGAAGGGATGCTGTACTTTTGGAATGTTATCCTGATGATATGCAGTAAAGTACCACAGGTAGATATTTGGAATTGCATGCAGAATTCATCCAATTTACGAAATCTTGCTCTGTGCAAACTGGCAGTCACACTGCGAATCAAAAAACATTACAGCACAGGAACAGGCCCTTTGACCCACCAAGACTGTGCTGGCCCATGATGCCTTTCTAAACTAAAAGCCTTTTGCTTGTATGCAGTTCATATCCCTGTATTTGCTGCCTATTCATGTGTCTGTCAAGATGCCTCTTAAACATTGCTATGTTATCTGCCTCCACCACCACCTCTTGCAGTGCATTCCAGGTACTTAACATCCTCTATGTAAAAGTAAAAAATCTTGCCTCCTTTAAACTCTCTCTCCATTCCCCACCCCCTCCCACCTTAAATGTATGTTTCACAGTAATTGACATTTCTTGCCTGGGGCTAAAGAGTCCGATTAACTGTTCTATTCATGCCTCTCATAAGTATGTAAACCTCTACAAGGTACCCCCTTATCCATTGAGGTTTAAATGAAAACAAATCAAGTTTGTCCAATCTCTCCTCATAGCTAAAAGCCTCCAAACCTAGCACCATCCTAACGAACCATTTATATACCATCTCAAAAGCCTCCATATCCAACTGTTAGTGTGGTGTACATAATATTCCAAATGTTGCCCAACTAAGGTTCTGTATAGCTGCAACATGATTTGCCAGTTTTGATATTGTGTGCCCTAACTAATAAAGGCAAGCATGCCGTTTGCCTTCTTGACCAAGTTATCCACTTGTGTTGCCACTTTCAAGGAAGTGTGAACCTGTGCACAGAGATCCTTCTGTAAGTTGATGCTAACAAGGATTCTGCCATTTGATGTAGTCTTCCCTCCCGCATTAGACCTCCCAAAATGCATCATCTCACATTAGTCTGGATTAAACTTGATCGGCCATTTCTCTGCCTAAGTCTCCAACCTATCTATATCTTGTTATATCCTCTGTCAATCCACCTCAGTATCCACAGCTCCCCGAATCTTTGTACTGTCTACAAACATACTAATCAGGCCACCCTACAGTCTACTCCAAATCAATGATATATTACAAACAATGTGGTGGTCCCAGCACTGATCATAGATCATAGAATCATAGAACCCCTACAGTGTAGAAACAGGCCCTTCGGCCCAACAAGCCCACATCGACCCTCAAAGTAACCTGCCCAGACATGTCCCCTATAACCCACCTAATCTACACATCCCTGAACACTATGGGCAATTTAGCATGGCCAATCCACCTAGCCTGCACATCTTTGGACTGTGGGAGGAAACCCACACAGATACAGGGAGAATGGGCAAACTCCACACAGACTGTCGCCTGTGGGTGGAATCCACGCCAGGTCCCTGGTGCTGTGAGGCAGCAGTGCTAACCACTGAGCCACCATGCCGCCACCGTGATCCCTGCAGAACACTACTGGTCAAAGGTCTTCAATCAGAAAAACAGCTTTCCACTTCAACTCTTTGTCTTCTATGACTTAGTCAGTTCTGTATCCATCTAACCAACTTACCATGGATCCCTTGTGACTTCAACTTTTGTATTAGCCTGTCATGAAGGAGCTTGTCAAAGGCTTTGTTATCACGTTTCGAGTGTGAAGTGCTTGCACTATTGCAATAACTTAATTGGCAATAATTGATTTGGTGGAGTGGTTTATCTTTAAGTTGCTAGAGTCAGAAAATAAGTGTATTGATGCACATAAAGGTTAAACGATGTTGCTCACTCAATTAACTTAATTTCTTCATACTGTCCCAAGCTTGGGAAGCAGTAACCAACTCACGACAGGTTGAAAAAAAATCCAAAAACAAAAGTTCTTGCAGCCCAGCTGCCCCTTGTACCCAAAGCCTCATTTTCAAGTCCCAGCTCCATGTTAAATTGTTAACCTTGGCTAACCTGAAAGTTGAGGAGATAAACTTTCCAAATTGCCTTTGATTTAGGACAACAGAATCAGTAAGGTGCATTTTACTGATCTCTTCCAGCTGCAAAAAAAACGTATGCCTATGTAAATGACAGTTGAGAATAGAATCAAGTTTTGTTGAGATGTCTTCTGGTGTTGAATAGCCTACGATGCCCACTGTGAAGGTACATGTAGGAAGAGTTGCTATTTGGTTGAGATACAAGATTCTTGTTGGTGCTTTCGCAGTGGACCGTGCCTTTGGAGAAAAGGACAGCAATTTGAGTAATGGGGAAGAAAAATTCAAGTTAAAGAACTAAAAATTGCATTTTCTTATTCCATTGTCATTTCAATCAATTTCTGTTAATCTTTGAAATGAACTTGAATATATTACTCCTAGGTAGTTGTTTTTCCCCCCTAACTTTCTGTCCAATAGGTGAAAAATAAGTGAACGAGTCATTGAAAGGAGAGATGTACTATATATGCTGCTACCGCATAGTCTACTGCAACACAGTTTCTGAGACTGTGATTCCAGCTGACGGTAATCCTGGACAAGGCAGGATTCAGAGTGAATGACCATGAGTTTTATTTTTTTGCAATTTGGTTACTCAGATACTGAGTGTGTTCACACAAAGCTGTAAATATACTTCTAACAAAAGATGAAAAGTTTATTACACAAAAGAAACAAAAACAAAGCTATATATTTGTGTCTTGCAATTTGGAAAGATCTTTCAAGAAACAGCAAACAGAATCAACACTTTTTTTTCTTCAGCAATATCCTTTGCAGACGTTCAACCCCAGTGAAGTATCACTCTTCACTCTTTAATTTCTTCCTCAACTACTGAGGTCGCAAACATTTCCTTGCAACAACTTTCTGCATATTCATCTGAAGTGATTCTCTCAGTCTCTTCCCAACTCACATGGGCAGGTTAACTCGCTGCCATTTGACTGCCTTGGCCTACTTTATGACTTCTGAATAGCACATCTCCTGGTTGGGGTCTTTTCTTCTGAACTGACTCTACTTCTGGCCTCGGCACCTGGATCTTAAAAACGCAACTTAGGAAGCACTTCAGCTACCTCACCACCTAATGTGTCTGGTCATTTAACCAAAGTCACATGGTTTTGACTCACTGTTCAAAAAAGACTTTCTGATCATTAAAAAAAGGTCACGTTCATAGAACTGAAATGAAAATCTCGTATTTTCTCTATTTTAAACCTCTATTTTAAAACCCAAGTATCCGAATAATATATTATAAACCTTGATCATAATTGTACTCTATGTCCTTTCCATAAGTAATAAAATGAGAATGAGCCTTCTTTCATTCTTGTTTGCAATTAAAAACTACATTTAATGATTGAAGTGGTTTGTCACTGCTTTCTTCAACGATAGATATTATACCAATGCATTACTCTATCTTATATTGTGAAATGGATCGATTTGATTAACATATACTAATGTATTTGTCTGTTTTTACCAACAAGTTCCATTACTGATGTTTTGTCCCATGGTTAGATAACATGGATGACTGCAAGGAATTTCTAGCTTAATTATACAAATATTGGACAACGATGTTTGCTTGCTATATCTCACTGTTCAGAAACTATGGTTATTTCTGTAATTACAGAAAATTCAATTGTAATTAATGGGGGTACATGTAGATGAGAATCCCACAGCTTCGTATTCTTGAACAGAATATTTCTTGTGGTTTAATCTGGTCTCTTTAAAAAAATTACATGATATTAAAAATCAATTACTCAATGAGACAAAATTTAAAGATAAAAATTAATTAAGAATTTATTTGCATTAGTTTTAAAACAAAACTGTGGAATACTTGAAATTAAAGTGAGTTTCATTGCTTTTGTCACTTCCTTCAAGCAATTAAAACAAAACCTGAAACTGAAAGTTGATTATGCTACTGCAGCCATGATAATTCTTTAGCTAATCTGTCTGGCAAAGAATATCTGTCTAGTTTCTAAATCATCCAGATAATTGACCATCTGTCTGAATCTCATTAAAAGTCTGCATTTATTTTTGTGCTACTGCTTTTTAATAGAAGCACCATATTAGCAGAGAGCATTTCTGAATGTGACCACTGGATGCAAGCAGCTGTGAGCCTGGTTTTGCTTTATTAACTAATATGAATATCTAAGATAGTTGATCTGTGGTTTTCTTTGCACAAAGTTTCAGCTGTTTGAAGTAGTATAATGCTTATATCGTTTAAAAAAAAAATTGATGCATATCTGTATGCTTCATGAGATATGTTTTCCTACAGTGCCTAATGATCCGCTTGTTCCGACTGCTGTGTTAGGTGAGAACTGAACCCTACATCCTCAACTGATGCATGACTTTGTGTATTTTGCATGTTTAATAGTTATGTAAGCACATTGCTGTGTGTTCGCTTAATGGAGTAGAGAAGGAGATCTGCCTTTTTTCAGTAGGATGATAACGGAAAGAGTAAAAGGAGAAAAAGTAATGACAGACAAAAAGAAAGACATACTCATGTCAATCACAAATAAATTTGTGTCCAGCAGTAGAATTTGGAAGCAGTTTAGTTTTGGAGAAAATAAAATGGGGATGTTGCAACTAATAAAGCATTTGAAATTATACGCCTGTCTAAAATTAATCTTTTATACAAAAACATATACTTCCCTGAATAGAATCAGGCAGTGGATGAGAAAGTGAAAGAAATTAAAATCACCTATTTCAACCAAAATTGTCTTTTTTCAAAGGCATAAACCAGTTTTAAAATAAAGTTTTGACAAGCTTTTAATTTCTTCATTAACATTTTCTTCACTGTGGATTTGCAGCAAACCTTAGGCGATCTTATCGCTATTTTTAAAATTTACTTTTATTAACCTTTCCATGCAACAATAAGCACAATGTCTCTGAGTACTATTTCCTGACTTTGCACAAGTCCTTGTTGTGTAAATTCTGCTCTAAACATTTGCAAAGCTTTGTCTCGATCAGGTTGTTTGCTCTAAAGATATCCAATGTCTGGCTGGATATTTTCTGCGTCACGAGAGTACGAAGTGCATATCTTGGTAGAATTGACCCTTCATGTCTACCCACAATGAAGTTTTGATGCGCTGAGGTAAATCTGAGGATATCTCCCAGTGAGAATTTACAACCTGACAATTTAATGCATTCCAACTCTTTCTGCTACCCTTCTTCCCTCTTTGCACAATAACGGAGACCACTCAAGAAATTTCAGTTGACCAGAATCTTGTTTTAAGATTTCATGAGTTTGAAAGAATTTTGATTGAAGTTGAGCCTAATTTTTATACAGTTTCTTGCTATCTGTCAAATTTTAGCCTGTGCGTAAACTAAAGGCAAAGCAAGCTCCTATTTCCTTCTCAAGAAAATAAACAAAAAATGTTAAAATTAAACAAAGAACCATGGATGCTGGGCACCCAAAACAAAAACAGAAATTGCTGGAGAAACTCAGCAGGTCTGTCAACATCTGTGGGGCAAAAACAGAGTTAAATTTCAAGTCCAGTGACTCTTCATCAGAACTGCAGCAAATAAAGAGGATATGATCACAATCCTGACTTATGCCTTGTATAGGCTACAAGGAGTCAGGTGTTGAATTACCCATTTAAGAATCCCCAGCTGCTTACCTGCTGTTGTCACCTCTATTTATATAACTGCTCCGGTTCAGTAGAAAGATATTTTATGCTATATTCTATGACCCATATCATCCAGTGTAAAATAGTTTGAATCCAAGGTGAATTGGCAATACGAATGAGAGGATGCTGTCATTTTGAGGCTCCCTCACAGAGGAGCAAACTTCTCTTTTTTTTCTCAGCCGGGGCTGAGCAAACAGGTTCTTGTCGTGGAATATACCACCAGTGCCCCTGTCTTAGGCCAATGAGCCTCCAGTGGTCCCAGCCTTCAAGGGGCTTCCTGCTTGCAGCTGGCAGCCCCTCCTGCCAGGAGACAACTTCAGGGGCCTTTATTTATTTAAATACCGTCCTCAACCTGAGACCCAGGCAGCCACTACAGTAGCAGTCATACCATTGGTCAAATGGCCCAGCAGCAAGACTCCACCAGGAAATCATTCCAACTTGGTTTCATGGCATTTTACCTACTCCCTCAGAACAGCTTCACCTACCTGCCACCTGGGGGCTGGCAGATCAGTCTGTCCATAGATGATATTCTGCTGTATGAAATCGTAGCTTTTGAAGCTCCCTTAAAATAAATAAGTGAAGAAAAGTGTGCAGTGCAATTGCCACTGAATATATGGACTCATTACACATGTAGAAAATTGTGCGTTCACATGAACAATCTGATGAGCCCCTGCAGATCTGTAAACATGTTAATTTTACAAGTGTACAATTCCATGAATGCTGAAAAATAATATATTTAAGCACATGGTTACAATGTGCATCTAAATCATCTTTGCTGATGTATTTTTCCAGGTTGATAATGAGAATGGTGGAATCTTTCTCGTCTTGTAAGAAATGTTCATTTCATGACATTATTTTTCACTTCAAAAATCTCAAATTCCAGAAGAGATCAGTTTACCTTTACTGTAGCTGAACATCAACAATTTTAAGGCATACTCCAAAACAGACGATAATTTGATTGTGTAGCAATAATTAAAAGGAAGTCAGTGCAACTCTGTGATTGCTTATACTATAATGTGCACGGTCTTGATACATATCCTGTACATATATGCTTCTGACTCTAGTACAGTTATTCAGCCTCCTGTTGAGCTGACCAAAATAATTTGTGCAGATAATTCTTACTTGAATATTAACTTGGAAAATTATTTTTTTTTTCTGGCAAACTATCTAAGATTTTATCTTACTATTTTGCAGCTCCATTTAATGTTCATTGTTGTGTAGTGTTTTGTGAAGTGTACAAGCTGTGTCTATTGCTGAGTGTAGCAAAAATTGTTAATTGGTGTTATTTGTTTGGCTCTGCTTTGACCTTCTTTAAATGTTGTGATTTTGCGGTTTGCTTTGCACATTTTCTGTTGGTTACACACAATGCAGAAAGTAAAACAAGGACTATATTCAAAAAATAAATGCAAAAAAAAAAACGGGATGCTACTGATTTCAGGGCAAGATCCTAATCATGTCGGGGGATTTAAAAAAAAATCCTTGATTTGTCATTGCCTGAATTCCTCTCACTCTGAGTGAAGGAATTCTAATAATATAATCCGAATCTGGAAATATATTATTTTGTTTGTTACATGGTATTTATTCTTTTAAGAAACTAACCGCTGAACCAAATACAGTTCAGAGATAGTAGGAACTGCAGATGTTGGAGAATCTGAGATAACAAGGTGTAGAGCTGGATGAACACAGGCCAAGCAGCATCAGAGGAGCAGTTGGGCTGACGTTTCGGGCCTAGACCCTTCTTCAGAAATCTCCTCTACATCAGGGAAACCAAGCGGAGGCTTGGGGACCGCTTTGCGGAACACCTACGCTCAGTTCGCACTAAACAACTGCACCTCCCAGTCGCGAACCATTTCAACTCCCCCTCCCATTCCTCAGACGACATGTCCATCCTGGGCCTCCTGCCGTGCCACAATGATGCCACCCGAAGGTTGCAGGAACAGCACCCCTTATTCCACTTGGGAACCCTGCAGCCCAATGGTATCAATGTGGACTTCACAAGTTTCAAAATCTCCCCTTCCCCTACCGCATCCCAAAACCAGCCCAGCTCGTCCCCGCCTCCCTAACCTGTCCTTCCTCCCACCTATTCCCTCCTCCCACCTCAAGCCCCACCTCCATCTCCTACCTACTAACCTCATCCCGCCCCCTTGACCTGTCCGTCCTCCCTGGACTGACCTATCCCCTCCCTAACTCCCCACCTACACTCACCTTTACTGGCTCCATCCCCGCCTCTTTGACCTGTCTGTCTCCTCTCCACCTATCTTCTCCTCTATCCATCCTCTATCAGCCTCCCCCTCGCTCCCTATTAATTTCAGAACCCCCTTCCCCTCCCCCATTTCTGAAGAAGGGTCTAGGCCCAAAACGTCAGCCCAACTGCTCCTCTGATGCTGCTTGGCCTGCTGTGTTCATCCAGCTCTACACCTTGTTATCTCAAAAACAGTTCAATCAGGTTTGGAATTAATTTGTGGTTTTGGGACCTGAAAAGATTTTAAATATGTCAAAGTAAACGTATGGTCCATGTTGGAATTATGTATTAATTGATTTCAGTCTGCATATTTCGATGTATTTAAGCTTTTTTGAAGTATATGTTTAAATGTTAATCGTGTCGTTTCTCTTTGCTGCTCTACTCCACAAAGTACCCATTGCCGGTGAGTGTTTTGTTTTGCAAAACAGCACAGTTATAGGTGACGCAGGAAGTAAAGATACTGTGATAGTGTCAAATGTATGTTTGTCAATGAATTTGGTTTTCAAAGGTGGGACTTGTGAACCCATTCCGATGACATGTCAATGGTGAAGTACAAATTATATTTCACCCAGCGTTGGAACTGATCTTTCCTATTCATTCTCCTATCGACTCCACATTTCCTAACAATACTGCTATGTGCTGTCTTCAGTGGTCGGCAGATAACTGTGTAAGCACAATATCTGAAGAAAACTGTTTGGAATAATCATTTTGGTTGATATTCCGATAGAAATTTTAGGAAAGAAAATCTTGCATTCACAGCAGTAGTTTGTTGGCAATATTATAATTCTTTTATTTCATGATAAATGGATGCAAGCTATATTTATAGATTTTTCAAAAGGTCATGTGCATGTTCTTGTTGGCATGTTGGGTGAATGATTATACTGAACCATAATATCTTTTAACAGAAGTAGAAATAAATGTTGAGTGAACCATCCCAATAGAGAAAATACATACCTTAATAATCAATCCTTGTTTATATACCAAGAGTGGCTGAATTCTAAGCTATAGTATGTTGAAAAACGTTGGTGTATGTTTATGTCTTAGTAAAGTCAATGGAATAGAACTCATTGAGTTATTTTGTTCATGTGGGCATTGACCTCTTCCAATAAGGACCCTATGGCATTACCTGATTACCACCTCATGATATCAACACGCCTGCTAATATATGGTTCTGAGTAAGGGTTGTTTGAGCTCATTAGCTGTCACCAATCCTTTGTCTAGAGCCTATCTAATGATCAGTTGTTGAGGATGCACTACTCTAGAGTCTTTACAGAAGAGGCACAGATTTTAGTTAGCAAGATGGTTTATTGCATGATAACAGTAAGTACAATGATATTACTAGTCAGGTATAATTACGACGACTCTTGGGAACTTTACAGAATACATCTGCTCCCTATAAAGGCAAGTGTAGAACTCGTGTCTACCACAGACTACATGTGACATCATCAGATTGGGTGGAGCTGAATGTCACAAGAAAATTAACTCCTTCAGATCTTTACCTTATAAAATAGGGTTGATAATCATTCGTTTAACGGTGGTTAGGAAGGTGGGTTCTGGATTAATTGAATTACAGCCTTGCAACTGTACAATTTTGCAGGTGAAACAGTGAGGTGAACTAATACATAAAATGCTTCCATCTGAAACTTTGTTCTGTTTCTGAAAGGTTTTTTTTCTTTGTGTCATACAACAAATGGACATGTTTTAAATTGCACACTTTTTATCTTGAGTCTTATATTGGACCGTACTTGAGAAGTTGTGTACCTAATAAATTATCCTCATTTTCATAGATGAAAACCATACTGTCTCAGCGGAGTCAAGCAGGTTGTTAGATGTTCCCCGTTATCACTGTGAGCCCACAGAATCTCCATACCAAACTGGCCAGCTCCATCCAGCTATTCGTGTTGCAGACTTACTACAGCATATCAACTTGATGAAAACATCAGAGGGCTATGGTTTTAAAGAGGAATATGAGGTAAGAAAATTATAAAAGAATCCCAAGTCCAAAGATGTGCAGGCTAGGTGGATTGGCCATGCTAAATTGCCCATAGTGTTCAGGGGTGTGTGGGTTACAGGGGAATGGGTCTGGGTGGGATGCTCCAAGGGTCGGTGTGGACTTGTTGGACCGAAGGGTCTGTTTCCACACTGTAGGGATTCTATGATTCTATGAAAATGCCTGAATAGTGGGATGATATGCAGCTTGAAACTGAGATTCGCATATGAAGCCAGGCACTGATGGGTTCTGAGGAAGGATCACTGAGCCCGAAACGTTAACTCTGATTTTTTTTTTTTTCTTCACAGATGCTGCCAGACCTGCTGAGCTTTTCCAGCAACTTCTGTTTTTGTTTCATGATTTACAGCATCCGCAGTTCTTTCGGTTTTTACTAATGTGTCAGAATTCAGTTGTGCTTACTTCTGTGTAACAATACCTAACTCTGAAATTTGGCTAGATTAATATTCTTCATTCCCATTGAAAACTAAGTTTTCCAACTTTAATTTCATAATACTGAGCAGAATATGTAACTAATAAATTGGGGTTTGCCTTAATACCTTTTCGAGTTCAGTTGAGTTAATCAAACTTGCAAGTGGTCTGCGGACATTTTTAGAAGTTGAATACATTGCCTGTAACTTGCTTCTTCCTAACAAAAAAAGCTGATATGCAACAATTATCTTGTTGTGGTCTGTATTAAATCTGTCTTTTCAGGTTTTTGTTTTCTGACTTTCTGAAGGTGAACTAGATTGCCAGTAGTTTGAATCATTGGGCACCTTTATTCTAATAGCTCAGACCTATGAATACCATCAGATTCAACTAGTTTATTAATACCTATCTCAATGTACTGAGAAGCAAGCATAAAAATACAGGAATGAGTATTCATTCCTTCAAGCCTTTTTCACATCACAGTACAATCACAAGTAAGATCCTAGCCAAACTGGGGTTTGTATCCTGAAGAGCCATTTCTGTGACTCCTCCCCTTTCCTGTGTGCCCAAAGCAGGGGGACGTGTAAGCATCTTAACAGTATTAGATGTTCTGGTGGATTAAGGTTGACCATCTTTTAGTATTTTTTTTTTCCTATTCATTTATGGGATGTGGGCGTCGCTGGCTGGCCAGCATTTCTTGCCCATCCCTAGGCCTTTACTATTGCTCCTGACTTGGGGAGCAAGCTGGAAATCTAGACCTGCTATTCCCAAAGTTGTCAAAAAAATTAAAGACTTTGAAAAATAAGTAAAATTCCCCACTTTAATTGTCCTTTAGATCCAGGTTGACAGAAAGCATGATCCAAGTTTCTATACTTAACAAAAATGACTTTACTACAAATAAATGCATGCTAACTACATGCTACCAGTGAAATCTCTAACCCCCTTATAAATGCCCCCTTTACACACCCATACAGATTGACACAGACATGGATAAACAAATAGGTGTTACAGACAGAGTAAAGACTAGGAATTGGTTCTTGATCACTTTCCTCATCCAGGTCATTAATATATATAGTAAATAATTGTGGCCCAGCACTGATCCCTGTGACACTCCATTAATTAGAGACCACCATCCTGAAAATGTCCCCTTTTCTCCACACTCTGCCTTCTAATAGTTAGCTAATCCTCAATCCATGCGAATATGCTACAACCAGTATCATGGACTCTTATCTTATTAAGTGACCTAATGTGTGGTACCTTGTCAAATGCCTCCAAACATATACACATACTGCTATAACAAGGTGTGGAGCTGGATGAACACAGCAGGCCAGGCAGCATCAGAGGAGCAAGAAAGCTGACTTTTCTGGTCTGAACCCTTCAGAAATGGGGGAGGAGAAGGGAACTCTGAAATAAATAGAGAGAGGGAGCAGCATTGATGGAAAGTGGATAGAGGAGCAGCTAGGTGGAGAGAAGATGGACAGGTCAAGGAGGCAGGGATGGAGCCAGTAAAGGTGAGTGTCGGGAGGGAGTAGTGATGGGGGTTGGTCAGTTGGGAGGGAGGGGCGAGTCGGTGGGAGGGAAGACGGACAGGTCAAGGAGGCGGGGATGAGGCTAGTAGGTAGGAATGGGGTGGGCGTTGGTCAGTGAGGTGGGAGAAGTGGATATGTGGGAGAAAAGATGGACAGGTCAAGGAGGCAGGGATGAGCTGGGCTGGTCTTGGGATGAGGTCGGGGGTGGGGAGATTTTGAAGCTTGTGAAGTGCACATTGAGACCATTGGGCTGCATGGTTCCCAAGCGAAATATGAGGTGCTATTCCTGCAGCCTTCGGGTGGCATTGTTGTGGCACTGGAAGAGGCCCAGGATGGATATGTCGTCCAAGGAGTGGGAGGGGGAGTTGAAGTGGTTCGCGACTGGGAGGTGCAGTCGTTTGTCATGCACCGAGCGTAGGTGTTCCACAAAGCGGTCTCTAAGCCTCCACTTGGTTTCCCCAATTTAGAGGAGGCCACATTGGGATCAGCGGATACAATACTGCTACTTTCTCAAAGAACTCTATTACATTTGTCAAGTCAGATTTCCTCTTCATGAATCCCTATTACATCTTTTATAATTGACTCTAACATTTTCCTAACAACAAATGTGAAGCTAACCTACCAATAGTTACATGCTTTTTGGTTCCCTTCCTTTTGTACATAAAGATGTTAGCTTAGCAGTTTTCTGATCCTCTGGGACTTCTCCAGAGTCTAACGATAACTGAATGATTGCTATCAGTGTACCCATTATCGCTGTGGTTACTTCCTTTTAACATCATAGAATGCATCCCATCAATTCAAAAGTTTTTAGCTGTCTTTAGCCTAATTTGTTGCCCTAGTACTTTTTCTCTCGTCATAGTTATTGTATTCATTTCTTCTCTCCCTTTTGCCGCTTGATTATTTAGTAATTTTAGAATATTGTTAGTGTCTCCTGCACAATATGTTGTTCCTGGAAACTGTCCCAAATAAACTGTATGAATTCTTCTTTATGGCTACTTCTGCCAATCTGACCAGCCCAATCTATATGAAGTTTAAAGTCATCTATGACAAATAAACTGCTTTTGTTAGATGCCCTTATTATCTCCTTATCTATTCTCTGTCCCACAGTGTTCCTTGTGTTAGGGTATCTATATACTACTCTTATCTTTTTATTTCTTATATTCACCCATATGGATTCTGTCTTCTAATTCAATTTACGATCATACTTATTCTATGCCATACCAACAATGCTACCTCACCACTCTTTGGACAGATATATGAAGAGAGTCATAGAGAGGTACAGCACAGAAACAGATGCTTTGGTCCAACTTGTCCATGCCAACCAGATATCCTATATAAATCTCATCCCATTTGCCAGCATTTGGCGCATATCTCTCTTAAACCCTTCCTATTCTTATACCCATCCAGATGTCTTTTAAATGTTGTAACCATACCAGCCTCCACCTCTTCTGGCAGCTCATTCCATACGCGCACTTCCCTCTGTGTAAAAAAGCTGCCCCTTAGGTCTCTTTTATATCTTTCCCCTCTCACCTTAGGTTTACAGAGATATGGGCCAAATGAAGGCAAATGGGACTAGTTTAGTTTGGGAAACTTGGTCAGCATGAACAAGTTGGACTGAAGGGTCTGTTTCTGTGCTTTTTCACTCAATGAATCTGTGACTCTCTGAATCCATTCAGTTCCCAGTTTTGATCTCCTTTCAACTATGTCTCAGTAATTGTTATAATATGATACTCATTAACCTGCATTTGTGCCATAATTTCGTCTATTTTGTACTAAGTACTACGCACATTCGAGTATTGAAGCATCAAGACATTCTCTGCATCTGTATACTCATGTCCCTTCCTGTCTCACTCTGGGTATCGTTTTCAAAATAGCTACCCTGTAATGTTGCCATATCCTCTGGCTTTGTAAGCCTAACTTGCACTTCTCTCAAAACCTCCCTCACTGCTAATTAGTTTCAAGCTCTCTCTACAGCCTTAAGTTATTTTCTTCACCAAGATACTGGTCTCAACACTATTAAAGGGAAGCTTATCTCACCAGATTAGCTGCCTTCTCCCCCAGTACTGGTGCCACTGCCCTATGAACTGAAACCCTCTCCACTCATCAATCTTTGAGCCATGCATTTAACTCCTTGACTTTGCCCTGTGACAGTTTGCCCATAACTCTAAGAGTAATTCAGGTATTATTGCTTTAGAAGTTCTGCTTGTCAATTTAGCTTCTAACTGTTGAAAGTCTTTCAACAAAACCTTCTTTCAAGTCCTACCAATTGGTACCAAGTGGATGACAACCACTGGATCCCTCCCCTCCCTTTCCCTGTTTTTCTCCAGGCTTGAGATATCCTTAATCCACAGGACTCCCACTCATAGTTTCAGAGAACAGTATCTATATGTCTGACTGTACAGTTCCCTGCCACAGCTACATCACTCTTTCTTTCTGCCCCCTGAATGACTCCCTGTACTAAGATGCTGTCGTCAATTTGTTCATCTTCCCTGCAGTCCCCACACTTGTCCGCACATTTGTAAGAATGGCAGTGTAGGTAGCCAAATCAATTTCATTTTGAATGAATGCAGTAAATATGATTGACTTTTCACCTGAAGGACCTGATTATCAGCCTAAGAAAGGAGGGAGGCAGAAGACAGGAAATTACAGGCTGGTTAACCTGACCTCGATCATTGGTCAAGATTTTAGAGTCCTTTACCAAGGATGAGGTAGTGGAATACTTGGAGGTGCATTGTAAACTATGGCTGAGTCAGCATGATTTCATCAAAGGGAGGTCCTGTCTGACAAATTGGTTAGAATTCCTTGAGGAGGTAATGAGCAAGTTGGATAAAGAAGAGCCAGTGGATATGATTTATTTGGACTTCTAGAAGGCCTATGAAAAGGTGCCGCACAGGAGGTTGCTAAATAAAATACAAATCCATGGTATTAGGGGCAAGGTACTAGTACGGATAGAGGATTGGCTGACTGACATAAGGCAGAGAATGGGGATAAGGGGTCTTTTCAAGATGGCATCTGGTGACTGGTAGAGTTCCACACGGGTTAGAATTGGGACCACAGTTATTCACGTTACATTAACAATCTCGATGAAGGAACTGAAGGCATTGTTGCTAGGTTTGCAGATGACAAAGGTGGAGGGACAGACAGTGATGAGGAAGCAGGGAGGCTGGAGAAGGACTTGGACGGGCTAGGAGAGTGAACAAAGAAGTGGCAGATGGTGTACAATGTGGGAAAGTGTGTGGTTATACACTTCGGTAGGAAGAATAGAGAATATTTTCTAAATGGGGAAAGGTTTCAGAATTCTTAAGCATAAAGGGACATAGAAGTCCTGGTTCAGAATTCTCTTCAGGTAACATGCAAATTCAGTTGGCAGTTAGAAAGGCAAATATAATGTTAGCATTCATTTCAAAAGGACTAGAATATAAGAGCAGAGAGTGCTGAGGCTGTATAAGACTTTGGTCAGACCACATTTGGAATATTGTGAGCAGTTTTGAGCACTGTATCTAAAGAAGGATGTGTTCATATTGGAGGGGGTCCAGGGAAGGTTTGCAAAAATGATCACAGGGATGACCGGCTTGTTATATAAGGAGCAGTTGAGAACTCTGGATCTGTACTCCATAGAGTTTTGAAGGATGAGCGGTGATCTCATTTAAACTTACAGTATACCGAGAGGCCTGATAGAGAGGACATGGAGAAGATGTTTCTAATAGTGAGAAAGACTAGAACCCAAGTGCATGCCCTCAGAGCAAAGGGATGGACCTTTAGAACTGAGACAAATTTCTTCATCCAGAGGGTAGTTAATCTGTGGAACTCATCACCCCAGAAGGCTGTGAAGGCCAGGTTACTGGATGTATTTAGGATGGAGATAAATAACTTGATTAGTAAGGGGATCACGGGTTATGGGGAGAAGGCAGGAGAATGGGGCTGAGAATTATATCAGCTGTGATCAAATGGAAGAGCAAACTTGATGGGCCAAGTGGCTTAATTCTACTATTATATCTTATTGTCTTAACCCCACAGACAATGCGTTAGAGATATGATTCATTTAGCAACAAATTAGCAGGCATATTGTATAATTATTTTCTTTTGCACTAGGATGTTTAGGATACATGAGAAGTGAAATTAAATATGCTGAGAATTGGTTTAAATATAGCAACTGATTTTTTTTCCTTAGAAAAGCAACATATTCTTTAGCTATAACACCAGGCATCGGTATAAATTGTGCTGTGTTGCTTTTAATGTTTTTTTTTTGTGAATTTATTGCTTAATTGTTAGCATTTTGTCATTTTAACAAGTCAAAACCTCAAGGTTATGCTACTGAAAACAATGCAGATAGTTCTAACCGTTAAGCCAGTACTTGTGGTTTTACTGGCAACGTTTCCTGTAGAAATTTGTTGTTTCTGTGCATCTTCCTGTATGCATTTTATTGTAAGGTAGAAAAATAGATATGAGGACACACAGTGCATTGTATTTATTGCAGTTTGTTGAGTTTCATAGAAAAATATACTGAGCTATGACTTTCAAAAAATTTATTATCCTAAATTGTCTGGTAATATTTCATGAAAAGTATGATCTTTAAATCTTGCAATCAAAAGCATTTAGAGACATAAAGCCTTATGGGATTAAAGAAGGCTACTCAGCGCATTGTGTCTCTGCATCCAGACAAAGAGTGATCCACCCAATGCTCGTTTCCAGCTCTTGATCAATAGTCCTGAAAGTCACAGAAGATGATATGAACTTCCAGATATTTTTTGAATTCAGCAACAGGCACACAATGTACTTCTCATTCAAAATATTTATAAATGGGTCTAAATGTAGCAAATTGGCTTTGCTCATTATGTGTAAGTTTTCACATTATTTACTCTAGGTTAAAATAATGAAGCTATTACGATGTATTTCAACCAATAAGACATTGATCAGATAGGCTTATGAAATGTGGATCAGTTGAGTTCAGTGAAAAGCAGAAATAATTGCTCAACAAAAAAAAATGTTCTTTTGCAGAGTTTCTTTGAGGGGCAGTCTGCTTCCTGGGACATTGCCAAGAAGGATCAGAACAGAACAAAGAATCGCTATGGAAATATTATAGCTTGTGAGTTGGTCAATAAGCAGCAATGGTCAAAATTTATTTTTGATGCAGTCTTATTCGTGAGAATGTGACTTTTTGTCTATGTTTCTTCAAGTTATTGTATAGAAGGGCAAAATGTCTAACATTGAACAATCTTTTGAATATCTCAAAGTCAGTTTGTTTTTTCTTTTCTATTTATTTTGCTGCCCTTATTTTATCATCAAGCGCCTTGATTTTTGCAACATCACTTTATAAAGCACCTTATTCAGGCAATCCATGAAAATCTGTGTCTATGACGTCCACCGTTCATTGTAACCATGTGGTTGTCGCTCAAAATATAATTGGTCAGTATGATTTAATCTGTCCATTATAAATCCATGCTAACTGCTTCTGATTTTACCTGGTTTTGTAATCGTTCATTTGTTCATCCTGTGTAATGCATATTAGAGATTAACCCACACTTTGGAAAAAGCTGACAAATACTGAAAAGAGTTTGTGAAATCATGCTCCCAGTTTAAAACTGTGTTCACAATTGGGAGAGGAGCAGATCAGGGATTCTGGTTTGGAGCCTTATTACCGTCCTAAGTTTCTTTTGAGTGCAGTTCACCATTGGACATCTGTGTGCAATTATTCCGAGAACATGATGTCTTATTCTTTCTGTACTTAAATAATTTTTTTCTGAAGTTGTTTGGCTGATGCTTGAATCTATGAATACCTGACAGAGGTCAACAAGCGACCAATGAACCAAATAAGCAAAGTTTTGTACTGTGTGATTTTGTAATACATTAGCATTTATACTGATATAACTTTGTAATTACATTTTGAACTGTTATATCTAGTTAAATGATCAGTCACAACTCTAACATATAATAAACTTCTACCAGAAGCAAAAGTTTCAGTGGAATCTTCACTAGTTCCTGATGTTCAGCAGTTCGTAGTGCTCTTTTCTCATAGCAAGTGTAATGTTGAAAATCTAGAATTTTCAAGGAGTCCTGTATTGTTGCATTCTTGCAGGGAAGGAAAAATATTAGTTAAAACAACCCTTGCTATGAAATATAAACTGATATTTTGAGACATCACCTTTTTTCATGAAGATACTGTTCAGTTTTTGCATTTTGTCAAATTCTTGGGGGGAAAAATCAACTCGCACAAATATATTTCTAAAATTTGCAGTCTTCATGACTTAAAGATCACTTTCACATATTGTCAGTTTTTGAATGAATTAAATAATGATATTGTATTGTGTATTATTAATCAAAATGAATATGAACTATGCGTTCATTCTACTTCCTATAGATGACCACTCCAGAGTCATTTTGCAGCCACTCGAGGATGATTCAACATCAGATTACATTAATGCAAATTATATTGACGTAAGTCATATTTCCGAGCTCTGAAGATACTTTAGCATTTGATTTTCTTTCCTGTGTTGTGTCTAAAGATTGCTGCTGTTTAAAATTTGCACCTTGTATATTAAATTTGTTGGCACTCACTGACACTGTTGTGCTTTTCTTTCACATCTGGCTTTGGTTTGGGCTGTAGATATGGCTGTACAGGGATGTAAGTATCACACTGAAAAAGTTAGATTGTCTTCATTTTAATACCAGTCATTTAATATCAACATGTTACTAAAGCAAGCAGTACATGCAGTACATAGCTGAGCAAACCCATTTGATTCTCTTCATAAAATACATTCTGATTTTTAACTCAACTTCTGTAATTTTGAGTAATAGCATTTATTTATAACATTTTTGTCTGCTATTGTAAAAGGACTGTCATGCAGAATATACATTAATCTTACAGATTTAAACCAATTTGGTCTAAATTGTGAATTAGCTTATGATGGGGGAAATCAGCTTTGAAGTACATTATATAGAAATGAACAAAATAACTGCTTACTCGTGGCTGCACTTTAAGCACCAGCTTTGCTTGGTTATTAAAATTCTAAGAACTAAAGTTGCGAGTTGTTTGAACTCCAATGACACTGTTAAGGAACAATGCCTAAAAGCATACACTATGAAGAGAACAAACAGGTGAACTCTTGCATGTAAGTTAGTCATCATTATATATATTTTATGGTTATCTGATCTCCTTAGAACTTTGTTTAGTGTTCATGTTTTAGGTGAAATTACTAGCTGTATGTTTCTAAAATGATACAAAGTGGCCAAAATTTTTGGGTCTGCGATAACTCAAAATTTACCAAATCTCTTAATTTGGCCAATCAAACATATAGGAAAAAGTTGTTTTGCTTTGTGGTCGTTGTGATCATAAATTTAAATTTGTATATGATCGACTTGAAATGACCAGATTCTCAGTGTAATACCTCAAGTTCTCAAAATCAACCTGTATTTATGCCCTGAAGACCAAACACAAACACTTCTATGAAATGTGCTGGTGAGGAAGGCATTCTGCCTCTTTATTGTTTTGAAACAGAGGTCTGTAAAAAGAAAAGCCATGTCAATACAAAATATTGCTGTGTACTCCTGAACATGTCTTAGTCCCCCCTGTACTTTAATGCTTATATTAATTTTGAAATCAGAATTGTTAGCTAGACACCTGGTTAAACAGAATTAATCCTGTTGACTCATTTCAGAGCTGCAGCTTTTCCATTGGCCGCTGTTCACAAATATGAACAACCTGCTAATGTAAATTGCTAAACTGCATTTTGTCATTTAAAAAGACTTTCATTAAGATTTGTAGCAACAACAGAATTCCACATTGAAGTCTAGTTTATCTTTTTAAAAAATTGAATATAATCTGAGTACGATTTTAATTGCATTCCTTTAATACCACCTCTCTGTTGGACAGTTGTTGACTGTGCATATTATCCTGTCGACTTTCAACGTAGCTCCATTTTGTTTCTGTGTCCCATTATTTAATAATTATGAAAACATTTCGATAGATTTCCGTGAAACTCTCAAAGTATTCCTATGTGGGTACAATTTATGCTTACATATAGATCTTGTCAATGAAATATTCCCTGTGTAGATTATGTTCAGCGCAGATGTTGTTAATAATTTGAGTCACCATGACATTGTCTGCAGCAATCTAAATAGAAATGAATTTAAAATATCGGAATAAGCAAGATACTGTGATCAGGCTAACTAGATTATCTGATCTTATCCTTTCTAAAAATAAGAATGCCTTAGTTGAAAAAATCTACAGCTGTTAATTACCTAAAACAAATCTCACATACAACTTGTATTTAAATTTCATGTTTAGACAATTTCAGCGAAGTACTTTTTTAGCATATTCTTTTGCTCTTCTATCACTTCCACTCCCTGTATCAAACAGAAATTACGTTGATGCTGCAGTTACTGGTCTGAGATTCATGGCTGTAGCATAGGTTTCAGCCAGAGATGACTGCTTTAAGATCCCTAACCAGAATATAACAGGGTTAAAATCGAACAAAATATTTCAGAAGTGTGGACGAGAGCTTGTCTGCTCATAACTATTTGAGCTGAAGTCGGGTATATTTGAAAAATGTTTCAAGGATCCAAGAGAACTTTTAAAATGCGGATTAAGTTTCACCCTGCCAGAAATCACTCAATACTGCTTCTGCCTGACTCTAAATTAATATTACAGTGCTCATTTTGCTGTAAAACCAAACTGCTAATGGCAATCCTGAAGTTGCACCTTTTGAAGATTTCTGCAGTTTTATTATTTGCAAACATCTCTTGTGCTTCAATTCATTTACATTAATTACAGTACTTTCTTCCTTTCCGTCACTAGATTTATTTGTTTATTTTAATCACCTTTTTAATGAGGGTATTAAATTCTGATAAATCACATCATACATGACGGTGAGCATGCTGTTTCAATATAAACATGCCATTGTTGTGTTTAATCTATCATTTCTGTTGTGTATCATAAGCTGTACATATGTGTTATGAGAAAAGTGTTCACAAGTACCATACTGTATAAGGTCACTGAACTGTTGTTAACCTGCCCTATTATGAAAAGTTGAGCAAAAAAAATACGTGTAGACATAACTATCATTTCATAACACTGTCATTGTAGTTCATTTTCCTCCTTGAGCTTCAAATCAAAATAATTCTTTCATTACGAATCTGTTCTTAATCAATTACAATGGATGTTTAAACTCTTGTTTCTAAGTGGGCTTCAGTCATTAAACTTTTTGGAACTCAGTTCAACACACTGACCTTTAACATTTTGGTGCTTTTAAGCATGGTAGTGATGTTACTGTTATTCATAAAATCATTGTCAATGACAGACTTTTGATGTTATACATTTCTTCAAATAGGACTGGTAGAGACCAGATTAATCCTCTTTCCAGATGATGTAAATTTATGAAACTTTCTTCCTTTGTAGGGGTATCACAGACCAAGTCATTATATAGCTACACAGGGTAAGAATCTTGCATGAAGTAATAGATACAACTTACGTACATTTTGGAATTTAATTGCATTATATGAGATCTCACAAAATAATGAAAACAAGTGTTGTGACATAATGTTGCAGCCCAAAGTTCTTTGTTCTAGAAACTGCAGTTAATCCACTTATCCTGGAAATTATAAACTTCAAATTGTAAATGAGAAATAGACAGCTGGATGAAATGCGAACATGTGTAGTGACAAAATCCAGTGCACTCTTAATCCATCAATTCTTGCACACTATGGGAACAGCAGCTGGCTCGCATCTGTGTAACAACATTAAGAAAGGAATATCCGGAAGGTATGGGGAAGAAAAGCACCAAGCAAAAGGAGGAAAGTAAGGAGGGGTAACCAAAGTCTAAAACAAAAAGATGGAAATTCAGGGGAGTCAGGGAGGAAGGCAGTTTTAGAGGCAGAATGGTTTTGGGGTGGAATTTTAGAGAATTGCATCTGGGAAAGAGGAACATACAGGAGAAGAGTTGAGGAGGATAGTTTAGTAAAGTTGGAACACTGTGTGCAGATTTGGTCCCCTCATGAGAGAAAAAAAAAATTGCACTGGAAGCAGCTCAGCAAAGATGCCCTGGATTGGTTCTTGAGATGAAGAGGTTGCCTTGTAACGAAAGGTTTATCTGGTATGGTGTGTTCTCAAAAGGCTTCAGAAAAGTAACAGGTGATCTTATTGAAATATAAAATTCTAAGAAGATTTGGCAGGGTGCATGCTAAAAGAATGTTTCCCCACATGGAGAATCTGCATCTAGGGGACAAAGTTTCAAAATAAGGGCTCTCCTATTTAAGACTGAAATGAAAAATAATTCCTTCTCTGAAGATCATCAATTTTTGGAATTTTGTCCCCAAGATCAGTTCCCTTGAATATATTGAAGCCTGTATCGGACAGATTTTTGGTCTATAAGGGAGTTTAAGGTTTTGTGGACTAGGCAGGATAATGGTGGCAAGACTACAATCTGGTCAGTTGTAATCGTATTGAAATTTGAGCAGGCTTGAGGGGGCCAAGTGGCCTAATCCTGTCCATTTCTTATGCGAAAACTAGGGGGAATCATGACATCAAAGGGATTCATGAAGAATCCCTTGAGCTGAAGAATTTCAAAAGAGAGACATTGAGCCTGGGTGATTCCGAGAGGACAGGAATGAAGGTGAAACAAATTTGATTCAGAGTAGGGTGTGTGCATGAACTAAAATTTACAGAGAATGTACAATGATAAGTTGACAAGATGAGATTTTGAATTGTTGACTCTGGAAGTGACAAAGATGAACTGAAATTGGGGTATTGGAAGGCAACGTTTTGGAAGTGGAAATAAGTTATCTTTTTGATGAAGAGCATCTGACATTGGTAGCTCATTTTAAGATTAATAGAAAATCTGACGCAAAGTAGAAGGTTGGCGTACTATCCATTATTCTGGGAACTGGGTGCGAATGGCCCTTCGCTTACCATCTATTGTATTATAAACTGTCATATATTAAGTACAGCAACTTTAAAATTTGAAGAACATCAGAACCCAAGAGGGCAGCCCATTCGGTTTTGTAATGAATTTAATTTGCGCTCACACTGACATTTTAATCATTTAACTGCATTGAAGGACTTGACATTTTGGATGAGTTACTTTTATATTCATGATATCAAGAGTAGTAATCTTTGCACATGCCCTGCTATGCAGGTTTAGATGAAATTTGCTTCTATAGTTTCAGATAGTTTTGTCAAAAGGAAATCTTATTTAAACAATGTATTAGAGATTTTTGAATAAGTAATATGTGCTGTGGATAAAGGGAAGCCTGTGGTCATGCTGTAATTGGATTTCCAGAAGGCATTTAAGAAGGTGCCATATCAAAGGTTACTGTAGAAATAAAAGCTTGTGGTATCATGAGTAGCATGTTAGCATAGATTGAAAATTGATTGACTGATAGTAACCACAGTGCATATAAATGGGTTTCTGTCTGATTGGCAGAATGTGGTGAGTGGATTCTTGCAACAGCCTGAAATTTTTACAATTTACATCTGTGATTCAGATGAGGGGAGTTAAGGCATAGTATCAGATGATACCAAAAGATGTTGAATAGCATGTCATCAAAAAGAAATGAGGATGTCACACACGGATAGAGAGAGGTTGAATGAGTGGGCAAACATTTGGCAGAAATAACAAAAAGAGTATTGCTTAAATGGAGCATGACTGCAGAATTCTGTGATTTGCAGAGGGGTTTAGTTGTTCTAATGCGTGAATCTCACACTGTCAGTATGCAGGTCCAGCAGGTAATCAAGATGGCGAGTACAATGCTATTTTTTATTCCAAGAGGAATTGAACATAAAAATAAGGATGTTCTGCTTCAGTTTTACAGGACATTATTGAGACTACATCTCAAATACCGTGGGCAGTTTTAGTCTCCTTATTAAAGGAAGAGTGTAAATGTATTGGAGGAAGTTCAGAAGAGGCTCACCGCATTGATACCTGGAATGAGTGTGCTTTCTTATGAAGAACGGTTTGACAGGCTGGGCTTGTTTCCACTGGAGATTAGAAGAGTAACGGATGACTTGATTGACGTGCATAAGATCCTGAATATTATTGACGAGGTGGCTGTGGAAAGGATGTTCCCTCTTGTAGGGCTATCCAGAACAAGGGGCAATGTTTTTAATTTTAGTGTCACTCTTTGATTACATAATTGAGGAGAATTTCTTTTTCTCTGATGGTTTGGAACTCTGCCTCAGAAGGCAGTGAAGCCGAAGTTGTTGAATATTTTTAAGGCAGACGTGGATATATCTTTGTTAGGTTAGGAAGGGAAATCAAAGGTTAGTGGGGTCAGATTGGCGTATAGAATTTGAAACAAAATCATGTCAGCCATGAGCTTATTGAATGGTGAAGCAGATTCTAGGGTTTGAGTTGTCTATTTCTTTTCCTATTTTGTCTATTTGTATCCAGTTACAGTTTTAATGTACTTTGTGCACATCAACAGCAGCAGAATTTCCAGTTTTGATATTCTTAAATTCTGATCGGATGCTCTGTTGCTTCTCTCCACATTTCTGAGTGGTGTAACACAGACAATTTCAGATGGAACATGTTGCTGTATTTGTTTTATCAATGAAAAGTACTTTCTGGCAAGTTTCCAAAGCAGGCTTTTAGGCAATCAGCCTCCTCGAGTGTTTTTTATGAAACAAAGATCGTTTCTAGTAGCGATTGTAATAGATTTAAATTGACTAGACAAAGTGTGGTATTGTCTCTGAAAGTGTGAAATATTGACCTGTCTAGTTTAGGCTTATGTGAGCTATCTATTCATTAAGTGCACATTTTCTAATGAAACCAAAACCTATTTCTATCTAGTGTGCTGAAACCCATCTATATATTTCATATCCTTCAAGTATATATTCCCAGTGTAGAGAAGCTACTGAGTATGATTTAAGTTATGTTGTCTTCAAAAGATCCATGTGAATTTTTGTGTTAGTTTTAAACATGTCAGTTTAAAAGAAAATGCTATTGCATCCAAGTGAACCTTTCTGCTATAATGCTTTCAATTATAAATTTTCAATCTGTAGTAGCTCAGTGCATCACGTCAAGCCCAGCAGTTTGTTGTCAAATTTGACATGTTTATTAGTAGTGCCAATCAAAAAAAACATTTTGGGATTTCACTAGATAATAAGAATTGATAAAGCAACTTGAACAGAACACTTGTAAAATTACTTTAATAATTCTACACTGTTAAAACAATCTGTTTTGTTCATTTTGAAATACTGTCTTGTTTGTTTTCAATGAACGTTAGAAATGGACTGAAGCATTAATAGAAATTAAATATTTAAGTAGAAATCAGTTGAAACAAGTTTTGAAACAAGTAAAGATTTACTTATAGATGCAACAGTGGAATCTTCCCAGCCTCTGACTGACATGGACAATGAACAATCGGTTGGGAAGATATGACAAGATCAGAAAAATGAGATTCTTAATATCAAGGGGAGAAAAGTGTGATTTTTTTCCACCAAGCATTTGAATGATGAGACAAGCACCTTCAGGTCCCTGTTAGCAAGGCTGGGTGTCAGCTTTACTCTGTTGGCTGCCTCTGGCAGGATTCTTCACACATTACAACTGTGAAGGGATATTCCTGGCTGTCAGTGATGATCTGGTGCAAAGCTGAGGCAAAAATATCCTGCCAGCAACTGGAATCCCAGCAAGCCCCAGCAGCAGTGAGTACTTCAGATGAACGCAAGATAGTGGCGTGGTGCATACTTAATGGGGGGTGAGCTGCAGAGAATTGTGTGAGAGAACTCGCTGGAAACTTCTTTGAAACTCCTTCAAACCTGACAACTAACTGATTGTTGATACATTTCTGTGCAAGACTGCACTTTGTTTCTCAGTATACACGTTTTCGAGGATTTGTATATTATTTTGCTTAGGAGGCCAAGGTGAAAAGTATTCCGTCCCAGGATGTTGTCACGAGGGTATGAATGCATTGTACTGATGTGTGTTTGTGAAGTCGTTGGAGAGTCACATTGATTTGGGGTCTGCACAGTGTGGACTTTGGCAGGAAATCTGGGCACATTGCATAGGAAACCCAGCAAGGCCTTTCTCAACTTTGGGAGCAACTAACTGCATTTCCCAGACGTTGAGGTGAGATTCTCGCTCATCCGCAGCGAGATGTTTGTTGCCAATTTCACAGCCACTGAATCTTAACTCATCAGTTTACAGCTTCCTGTCCTACCATGCACAACAGGGAAACTAGACATCAACAATTCCTGATGTGAAAATCAGAGCAGGTACCTAGCAACTCCACCTTGCCACCAGGCCACCATCTTGGAGACCAGGCAATAATATCTTGGGGCACCTTCCAGGTCATTGGCCACATGCATCCATCTTCCATGGCTATTGGCATCCAATAACTGCCAGTCTGTCACCTGTCATGGCACCTCTCGGATCCACTTACATAATGTTTCTGCACCTTGGAGCACTCCTCCAACTAGCGTGGCAATGGTGCTATAGGGACATTTGGCATGCAGGGACAGGCTTGTTTGCTCACTCTCTTCCCATAAGCTGGTCAGGACCCTGTCCTTATAAGGACAATATGCTACATATTGTTTCTAAAGATGCTACATTCCGTGGCAATAGTGTTAACCAAGGACAAGAAATGCTCATCCCAGCAAGTTAATAAGCTTCTGAAAGATATAAGAAAGACTCTGTTTCAACAACCAGAATGGAAAGAAATTGGCCATGTGAAGATGAAAAAAAAACCATGGGCATAGTTTGTAAAGGGTATAGCAAATAGAATTGTAAGTCAGGCATGCTGATTACAGTTGCTTTTTGACATTATCCACCAGAAATCATGACACCCAAAAGCAGTTTACGGGCTATTAATACCATTAATTGCCTCTGTGATACAAGTTAACAGAGTTGAGTATTGAATTCTGTCAATTGTTACCTTTTGTTGTATAGTACATTAAATTTATTATCTAGTTGCCTGGCATGACGTGAGGATAACCTGTCTTTTCCCTTTCTAGGTAATTGCAGAGCTTTATTCTTGGCATTTTCTGTTTCAGTTCATAGTTTTCAATATTTCACTTGTTTTAATCTGTTTCACCAATGATGCTGATTTTCTGAATGCACAGTCCTGAAATAAGGCTATACCCATCAGTTGCACTTCTGTAATTTTTTTCAGAATGTACTCCTGATGGTGAAGGTCTGTATCAGAGTTGTGCATTCAGAGAATTGCCCTAATATACTTGGATAACGTGAAGCCGAATGTTAATGTTATAGTAGACTGAATGAATGTCTTCTATGATCATTCATTTTCACCATTATTTAAACATTATGGTATCGCAATCTTCTAGGACCAGTTCACGAAACGGTTTATGATTTCTGGAGAATGGCTTGGCAAGAGCAATCCGTTTGTATCGTCATGGTCACAAACTTGGTGGAAGTTGGAAGAGTAAGTCTGTTTTTAATAGTAAATCAAATGCTTTTGATGTGAATATTAAAGTATGAAGAAAAATCTACTTTTAAAAATTTGTTGACGGGATGACAGCATAACTGACAAGTGCATTCGTTCTTACCCATCCCTAATTGCTGTTGGAGTAGTGCAGAGCCACCTTCTTGAATTGCTGCAGTCCATATAGTGTATGTATAACAACTGCTATTAGGGAAGTCCAGGATTTTGAGCATGCCAGAAAAGGAATGCAGTTTATTTCCAAGTCAGGATGGTTTTGGCTTGGAGGGGAAGTTGCAGGTAGTGGTGTTCCTATGTGCCTGTTACCCTGTCTTTCTAGTTCAAAGATATCATCAGATAGAAGGTGCATGTGAATGGGGCCTTTGCTATTTGCTGCAGTTTATCTTATAAATGTAATTAACGCTGCTTCTGCATTTTGGAGGTGGAGGGATACTGATAAAGAAGACTTTGTTTACCTAGATGATGTTGAGCTTCTTAAGTATTATTGGAGTTACACTAATCCAGACAATTTGGAAGTACTCCATCACACTTCATACTTGCAACATGTAGATTGTAGCAGGCTTTAGGAAATCGGAAAATAAGTTAATCGCTACAAAGTTTCCAGCTTATGAACTGCTGTTCTAGCCACTGTACTTTTGTGTTGTATAAAATAACTCCACAGAGGCGGTTATCCTATCACCAAGTTGCCCTTTATTTACACGTGGAGAGTCCTTGACACTGAGCTAGCTCCCTCAGAGTGACCAGAACCCCTGACACTCCTGTTTATATCTGTCAGCCAGGGCTCCCTGATTGGACCAGATTAGCAGCCCCAATCAGGGAGCTTATATTCTATGAGGTCCATCTGGCTGACCTCGTTACAATCAATACATCCCTCCCCCTCGAAGTCCAAGGACATAGGCTCATTCTCTTTTTTTTTTTGCTTTGTAGCACCTCCTAGGATATTTTAGCATAGGGTCAGTGCTAACACCTGAGAGGATGATAGCTGTTTCTTCACTTCCCTGAAAGCTATAGCTTGGCCTCTCAACCATTTCTAAGGCTGACCCTTTTTTTCGAGTTGATGCAAAGGGGCCAGGATGGAGGGCAGATTAGTTATGAACTTTGCTTCATAATTTGCCAGCCCAAGGAAAGACCTAAGCTCTGATACAGACGTGGGAACCAGGGCACCTTTGATCACCCTCACTTTATCTTCCAGTGGATGTAACCCAATCTTGTTGACTCTGTCTTTGACATACTTGGGCTACAGATTTTTCCCTTCTAAGGCATACACCCTCCTGGGAGAAACATCGAAAGAATATGTTCAATTTCTCTTAAGTGCTCATTATTTGTCTTCCCTGTTATTAGCATGTCATCGAGATAATCGGCGACCTGGGGCAGTCATTGTAAAATGTTCTTCAGCATCCACTGAAAAATTGTACAGACTGACGATACCCCAAAAGACTGCCCCCAAAAAACAGTCGCATGTATTGGAACAAACCGTTATGGGTATTAATTATATCGTACTTCTGGGAATCCTCATCTAACCTAATTGCAAAGATGCATGGCAGATGTCCAGCTTTGTGAAGGACAGCCATCCTGCTGGCTTTGTGTATAAATCCCCTGTGCGAGGGATTGGGTATTGATCCAGCAGCGAAAAGCGGTTTGTCGTTTGTGTAAAATCCCCACAAAAATGAACCAACCCATCAGACTTCACAATCGGTAAAACTGGTACAGCCCATTCTGCAAACTGGACTGGTTTGATGATCTCTTCACTTTCCAGCCTCCTGATTTCTGCATCAACTTCTGCCTGTAAGGCAATTGGCACTGGGTGAGCCTTGCAGAATCAAGGAATTGCTTCCTTGTCAGCATGTAGAGTGGTATTGTCTCCTTTGATTGTCCCTCAACCTTCCTAAAAAACATCCAGCTATTTAATTAAGCCTTCACTGTAGCAGCCATATTCTAATCAAAAAATGTTGAGCCAATCGAGTTAAATCTTTCTCAGACAATTTCATCCCATCAACCTTGGGTCCGAACCTTTCACTACAATCAGTGGTGACTGAACCAGCTGCTTGTCATAACAGACCAGAACCGAAGTTGTACTCTTAATCTGTAGGGTTTACCTGGTTTAGGTTGTCAGCCTAGCCGAGGTTTTTCACAAACTTGAGGACTGAAATCCAGAGCAAATTTTGGTAAAGACTGATTCCATAATTACTGATACAGCCGCGCCAACATCAATCTTCCTCAAAACTGAGTGACTGTTTAACCAGACGTTTCTATTGGTTCTGATTTGGATGTTGCTGAGCAATTTAACTGTTCCAAACCATTGTAAGCAACTACAATGGCTTGACCGCTTGAATCCTAAAGAAAATCTTAACCATTTGGCTGAGGCTTGGCTTTGTTTTCGGTTTTAGCTGTGGGCTGACCTAGAGTCCCTTTGTTCAGGATAAGTCCTGAGTGAGGCTATGCAATTGCCTTCACTCAACTGGTGTTCCCCAAGCTCAGTTGGACTGGTGAGGGTGTTCACTTCCATTGGCATACCCTGCAACTCATATGCTCCACTTGCCACATTTTCCAATTATAAAACCAGTTGGAGTGCCTGTTGGAAGTCCAGTTCGGCTTCAGTTAGTCGGCACTTTTGCATGGTTACGTCATTAATCCCACATACCGAACAGTCTCTTAGCATCTCATTAAGAGTTAAATCAAGATCACATGCTTCTGCCAGACATCTTAACATATTCATAAATCCCGATATGGATTCCCTTGGTTCTCTAATATCTGGTGCCTCAGGGAAAGTTAGGGTCCTAATAACCAAAAAAGCTGTGGATCCACAAGCTGTCAGTAGAATTACTTATTGCTTTTCACCTGCCCCAATGTCATTTACTCCCAAAAATAAGCATTCCTTCCACATATTGGGCTCAGTCTTTGATGGCAAGGTCAAACAAATCAATCTTGCCAAACAACGGCATGATGCCAGAAATGCTTACCCCCAACTAAAAGATAAATGTTGCGAGCAAATTTCTTCCAGACTGTGCTTTTCTCACATTGCCACTGAAATAACTCCACGAAGCCCAATATCCAATGACCAAGTCACCCTTTATTTATACGTGGAGAGCCCTTGACACAGATCCCAGCTCTCCGAGTGAACAGGAGACTCATGTTTATGTCTGTCAGCCAGGGCTCCCTGGTTGGACCAGGTTAACAGCCCCAATCAGGGAACTCATTCTGAGGTCCACTTGGCTGACCTCATTACAATCACTACACTCTGAAGAAGACTCAGTGACTCGAAATGTTAACTCTGCTTTTTTCTCCACAGATGCTGTCAGACTTGCTGAATTTCTGTTTTTGTTTCAGATTTCCAGGGTGCACAGTTCTTTGTTATACAGCGCTATTGTTACTAGTTCAGTTCTGTTTCTGGTAAATGCAAACGTCTAGATTGTTGATCGCCAGGGAATCAGTGTGATGCTAATGCAATTGAACGTCCAGGGAAATGGTTAGATTCTTTCTTTTTGGAAAAGCTCATTAGATGGTGACCTGTTTGAGAACAGGACTTTTTGTTTGGAAGCAGGTAATTCCAGGGATGACCAGATTGTGTACAATTCATTACAATCTGTAGTGTGGTATTTTTGAACTAAAATAATATGACAGAATGCTATAAAGCACATTTTTAAAAATAAACTATTCTAGCATATGTTCGCATTGGATCTAGTCAGTAATCTTTATGAAATGATACTGGCTTCCCACTGATACAAAGCTTTCAACTTGAGTTCAAAGTGAAGTGGGGTGAGGTTTTCTGCAGAAAATAGTCTTGCAGCCTGGGTTTGATACTTTATGGACTGGATATGTATTGCCTTATTAAACATAGAAATGGTCAGGGTCCACTGGACTCCCTGGGGCTTTCATAAACCGATGTGAACTCAATTAGAATGTTTAGAAAGCAAGGATTTTCTTGTCAGCATTTAAAATGTACAACTGTTGGGGAAAAATTATGTAAGTATTTAAACATACAAGGAACTTGCCCTGAGCAACTCTGTCAGCATTCCAGCTAAGCTCGTGCAAAGTAATATGATCATACTATTTCTCCTTTAGCTATTGTGCTAAAACTGGGGCTTGTAATATAAATTATTGTTATCATTCTCGATCATTCAAATATTTTTATTTTAAAATTTAAGGTAAAGTGCTACAAATATTGGCCAGATGATTCTGAGGTCTATGCAGATTTTAAAGTTACATTCGTGGAAGAGGAACCACTGGCAGAATATGTAGTTCGAACATTTACATTAGAAAGGGTAAGCTGATATTCCTTAACTTTAACATGTATTCCCTCTTTGGTGTTTATACAATATTTATTTAATAATACTCAGTAATATGGAATTCTGACAAGTTGATAGTTCAAATTATCTTTCACCTTAATTACCTGAAACACTCAAATGAAAATTATCTGCTGCTAAGGGCCGGAAAAGAAAACTGATTAGCAAAGAGCTGACGACGGCAAATAAAATCTTGCTAATACATGTAACAATCCCATATATTAAGTCTGAAATGTAGCCTCAACATAGCCAGCAGCAAACATGCATTAAAATCAACAGCACTTTATGGACACCTATTGAATTTTATACTTCACTGACAATTTAAAGCTGCTAAATGTACAGTTTCCAAAAAGTGAATAAGCTAATGCCTATTGAGAAAAAAAAATCCATTTAAGATATTTATAACAAGCAAAAATATGGTGATGATATTACTTGTGCTCGTTTAGTCATGATTTTAAATTACTGAAAATTTATGGTTGAGAGCAACACTAGAGCACAGCTTAGGATAGTGAATTATATTAAGTACGTTATCTGGCAGTGATTGGGTTTGGCTTTTAACACCCTAAAGAATGAATGACAATTGAATAACTGGAAAGATTACGACTTAAACAAGAAAGAAGTTTGGAGTCCAGAATTGAAAATAACATAACTTTAATTGATGTGGACATCCAGAAGAAGAAGAGAAATGCTAGTCAAAAATTGTCGCAATGTTTAAATATATAAAATCCAGGTTTAACGCAAAAGAGAATTTTTTTTGCGAATGTTTCAGTGGTAGAATTGAGTGAATTTGTTTGTCATGAATTGACTCACTTAGGCTGGGATTATGGATAGATAAAAGAGGGTGAAAGTTGAAAAAAAAATCCTAAGTAAGAAATGGTAGATGTCTGTTGTGCTTTCAAGAGGCACGGAGGAAATAGTATTTTTAAATAATTGAAATTAGTAAGATTTTGGCTCCTTTCTGAAGGAAATGCAGGTGATCTAACAATTTAGCCATTAAACTTGAAACTGGATGATGCGAGCATTCAGTGCATATGATCTGAAGAAAGATTAGTTTGCAAATTGGAAGAGATAATAGACATGAAGAACAAGCATAGGGAAAGAGCATGCAGAGCAATGTGAAACACTGAGCTAAAAGACTACAATAAATCACTGCAGTAATTAGAGATGAATCTAAAGGATTGTGAAAATCGGCCACCATATATTTGGAAGATTATGTGCATGTGTAGAGTTTAATTTGGCAAGCAGTATATTCCGTTGATCCTTTATTGATTTTTTTATTTTTCTTTTGTCCCTCTTCAGAGAGGTTTTGATGAAATTCGTGAAGTTAAACAGTTTCATTTCACTGGTTGGCCTGACCATGGTGTTCCTTATCATGCAACCGGTTTATTGGCTTTTATCCGTCGTGTGAAAATCTCGAATCCCCCAGGAGCAGGCCCAGTAGTTGTACATTGCAGGTTAGAGTACTTACTGTATCAATTATTATGATATTGTTAAACTTCTTTGTGATGTCAAAATTATTTTGTCTATGTCTGTAACTGACTGTGACATTAACAACGCTGGATTTCAGGTATACCTGTATTCCAGGTAATTTAAGCGAAAACCTTAACTTTGGAATTTGTAGAAGCAGGTAATTGGCCCAGCTAACAAGTTTTCTTATGATACATCTCAACATTACCTTCTCTCTGTATTGTTGAATTCTAAATCTTTTCAGAAATGATGTTAATTGCCACTCAAAACTATTGCTTTAATGAATTTCTCTTGTAAGGTATTTTCCATTTCTATCATACTTTGTACAGAAAAGTTTCCATGAGAATTCCCTTCTTATTCTTAGTGTTCAGTATTGTTGTATATATTCGACATTTATCCTCAATATTTTGAATCCTTTAGTATATGAAGCAATTTGACTGGGTCAGCTATCAGTCCTTTTTATAGGGAATTTGAGAGCAGCTTTTCTCTTCAGAGTTTTGGAGATTATAATCTGCAGCACATTGCTTTTAACTATAAAGTATATTTTAATCTGGATTTATGTTAATGTGATTTTCAAAAATCTATGTCTGTTCTCAACAATATGTTTTTGTCAAGTGAACTTTATTGTAACCAAAATTAAGACAGCACAGTGGCTCAGTGATTAGCACTGAAGCCTCACAACACCAGGGACCCAGGTTCGATTCCATCCTTGGGTGACTATCTGTGTGGAATTTGCACATTCTCCATGTTTGTGTGGGGTTCCACCGAGTGCTCCGGTTTCCTCCCACAGTCCAAAGATGTGCAGATTAGGTGAATTGGCCATGCTAAATTCCCCGTAGTGTTCAGAGATGTGTAGGTTAGGTGTGTTAGCCACGGGAAATGGAGCGTTACAAGGAAAGGGTTGGGGGATGGGTCTGGGCAGGATGTTCTTTAGAGGGTTGGTGTGGACTTGTTGGGCCAAATGGCCTGTTTCCACACTGTAGGGATTCTATGATTCTACAAAGACTCGTTCTGAAATTTTCATTCCTGTTTGTGTGTTTTCAGTGCTGGAGCTGGAAGAACTGGCTGCTATATCGTTATAGATATTATGTTAGACATGGCAGAGCGGGAAGGAGTTGTTGATATCTATAATTGTGTTAAAGCATTGCGATCAAGGCGCATCAATATGGTTCAGACAGAGGTAAGATTCAAATCAATATAAGCAAAGATCACAAAACTTCATCATAAGCATTTGTGGCAAAACAATATTCCAGTGTGGAAATGCCATTACTTTGTCTCTGACACTAACAGGATATCATCAAAAATTTTCAGCGCAAAAGGAAACGCTTTTGCTCACCATGGTCGTGTCAGACAGGAAGAAGCTATCCAACCAAATCCGGTTTTCTAGTTCTTGGTCTGTAGCCCTGTAGTTACAACACTCACTTTGAAAAATGCGTACAATGTATGTGACATGCGTTTCTGTTTTTACCCTCCAGATAAAATTGATCCTCCAAAACCCCTACGTTCTTTTTGCTGATAATTTTAGTTCCACCCCCCCCCCGCAATTGATTATTGCTCTCTTTACTAACAGAAATAATCCCTTCCTATCCACCATACCTAGACTCTCAAAATTTTGTAAACCTCGGTTAAATCTCTCTCAGTTTCTGTTTCAAAGAAAACAATCCCAAGTCTATTCAATCTTGCCTTGCAGTCAAAATTCACCATTCCTGGTAGCAACCTTGTAAATCTGCTGTGTACCCTTCCAAGTAAGCTCACATCTTTGTGTAGTACAGTAACCCAGAAATGTACATGGTAGTCTAGCTGTGGCATAGACGTGTTTTATTCAGTTCTAACATGATCTCCCTTTTGTTATGTTATGACTAAGGTTTATTCTCTCTTCTGCCTCCGTGAACGCAAAAGCAAAATATGTGATAGTTTCACCTGCTGTTTGCTGTCAACTCCCCATTTTTACTCTCTCTCTGGAGAACCAAAACTGACTTTGCTTACTCCTTTTAAGCAGCTGTAGAAACTCTTGCTGTCTATTCTTGCATTTCTAGCTCGCTTCTTTTCATATTCTTAATTTCTTCCTCCTGATGACCTTTTACTCACCTATTCCATTCTTTATGTTCTGACTAATCGTCCGACCTGCCACTCTTTGCCCAGTTATATTCTTTTTCCTCAAATTTGATGCTTTTCCTGACTTTTTTTAGTCCACCATAGAGCATGTTTCCTCCCTTTGGATTTTTTTTCCTTTAATGCAGCTATATACGTGTTATGAAATATCCCTTTAATGTCTGCCATCGCAGCTCTTTTGGTCTATCCACTAGTCCGGTATCACAATTCATTTCACTTAACTCACCTTCTGATATCCACATAGTTGTTCTTTTATAGGTTTAAATAGTATTCTTAAATCCAATGTTGTCCATCTCAACTGATATAAAATTCTGTCACAGTCTATCATATAGCCTTCCACCTAGGGGTGCCTTTACTCCAAGGTCAGTAATTAATGCTAACACAGTAGCAAGTCTAATATAACCTGCTGTCTTGTCAGTTCCAGAATGGGCTATCAATGAAAATGTTCCAAACATTCTGTGAACTCCTGTTCTAGGCTGCTACTCCCACTCTTGATTTTTTCCAGATTATGTAAATTATAATCATTCATGATTATTGTTGGCCCTTTATCACAAACAACCAATATTTCTTGTTTCCTTCGTCCTACGTTGTGCTTATTGTTAGGGGGCATGAAGACCAAACCCACTAATGCTTTGTTTTCTATACTATTCCTCATCTCTACCCAAACTAATTCTACGTCTTGATCACCTGAACTAGGGTGAATTCTGTGCACCAATGCCACCCTTGATTAACAGTGCTGCTCTCCACCTTTATCTAGCTTCCTGTTCTTCTTAAATGTCAAATGCAGTTTCCCATTTCTCTTGACTGAAATATATTCTCCAACCACCATTGGTACTCCCTTGTTCAAAGTCGAGAATTAATCAAGGGACTGAACATCAGGATGTCTGCTGAGAACAAAATCTCTGCTCTTTCTACTGACTTACCACGATCATCATCCCAACCTCATTTAGTTGTGACGTGGTTCCCTGAGTAATCGTGTAGCACTAGTGCTCCCATTGGCACTGCTGTGCAGTAATCAGCCTCTGATTGGCTGGCAGCTCTATCTATACAAGTACCTTACTATGGCACCAGGGTGCTTGGCAGCTCAGCATACTGGTGGGCAAGACTTCTGCCATTTGTTCAATGTCTGCCTCAGGTATAGGGAAAAGACGCCTATTTTTTTCCCCTTTCTCAATATGATTACCAGTGCACTACTTCACTGCAGTCTTTTTGAACTGCCACTTCCAGTGAACTACATCCTAAAATAGATAACATTTCCTCATATGGAATTAACTGGTTAATAATTGCAAAGTGAGAAGTTACTAACTCGATGTGTTATTTTTAAGGAACAATATATTTTCATTCATGATGCCATTCTAGAGGCTTGTCTCTGTGGGGACACCTCAATACCAACATGTGAGTTCAAGCCAACCTATTATGAAATGACAAGAGTTGATTCACAGAGTAACTCCTCACAACTTAAAGATGAATTTCAAGTAAGTAAGCTTCAGCTGCACCATATAATGTTTTACACATTCTAATTCAATTCAATGTTGCTCTACATTTACATTCTTAAGGAAGGATGGTTTTCTTCATTAAACTTATGGTGATAGGTTTGTGTCAGTCAAGTTGTACTTTGGGGAAAGCTCATATTAGGTGATGTAACCATGTGTGTATTTGACCTGACTATTAGAATTCACTTCTTAAAGATGTGAAATTGTGCATCACTTTTTATTGATGGTGTAAATACGGGTTTGTTTTATTTAATTACCTAAATTGCATCTATTTGGATGTATAAGTATGGATGTTAGACCTGACTCTTTCATATTCCAGGACTACTACTATAAATTGTTTGTTGTTACAGTCTTCGTTTCGAATTCATCTTCCACTTGCAAAAAGTAAAACTTTGTTTGGATGTTGGCTGGAGATCTTGGGTACAGCGGGGGCGGTGGGGTGCTAAGATTAACCAGACACAGAATTTGTTGCAGCTGGCAAGACTACCAAGAGTACAGATTATTGTAGGTGACGATCGTATGCTGTATTGACCATTAAGCTGATTGTAGGAATCCGTCTTGAGTAGCCCCGGAACATAAAGCAGATCCTACTCGTGCAATAGCAAACTCACTGTATTGACTGGGTCCTGTGCTGCTCAGTCATTTGACCACAGAATTTCCGTAGTCCTCCGTTATGCTTGAGTATCAATGCAAGACCAGAATGGTACTGGACACTTGGGCTCATTGCACACTATTTTACAGTGTAGTAGTTTAACAAACAGCTCAATATATTTTGAAAACTTTGTATTAGCAACCAGCTTTTCCCTGCACAGCTTTTACCAGGATTGGGTAATCAAGGTCAGTCTCACTTCGTCTTCAGTATCTCACCAGGTGGTGAAATGATGAAACTGCAACTTTGATGTAGCAGTTAAAGTATTGACTAATCTACTGGCTCAGTTGGTACCGCCTGTCCTTCAAAACATGTCACTATACTTTTTATTTACACAGTATGCTCTTGATGAATCCAACATCTTAAACTATTAGTCATTATAGTGAAAAATGTCAACTTTTGCAAAGGCTATTAGTAAAATGTGTTTCTCTCTCTTACTCCATAGACACTGAATTCTGTTTCTTCTCAACTACAACCCGAAGACTGCAGCATAGCTCTTCTTCCCAGGAATCACGAGAAAAATCGATACATGGATGCACTGCCACCAGACAGATGCCTGCCTTTCTTAATTACCATTGATGGTGAAAGCAGCAACTACATCAATGCTGCCCTTATGGATGTATGTTTCATTTTGACGTTAGATTTTTTTTAAAAGTAATGCATATGTTTTTGGAGATTATCAGTTTGATTCAATACTGCAATATATAGTATGTGTCTTCACAGTTTGATTGCATGTATCACTACCAACCAAGAAGATTGCCATTTCAGCTGCAACTCTAGAGGGTGGAGCCTATGGAAATGAGACAATTGAAACTTGAAGAGCAAGTTTTAGTTAGTATGTTCTCTGGAGTTGTGATGTTAATTGTGGTAACATGAAAACTGAAACTGAGATCTTACTGAGAATAAGTATCAGAAGACTTATTCATAGAGCAATTAAATACATTATAAATCTATCACAGACATCAGTATAGACCGGGCTCAAGCTGGTCAATAAATTGTCTCTCCTAATGATTACCATGTACAGCAGTTGCTCGTCAAGATGGAGCTGATAACTTCATACAAGAATATCAGATGGCTTGATGCCAAACTGATGTCATTGCTTGACACTCTTAAAGGTACATGTTTGCTTGATGCAAAATCACACCAATAGCAAGCTGCTTGTGCATATGTTGGCAACCAGAACCATAGAGTGAAACCTTTGAGTGATTTCCTTAGCTGCTGTTGATTTCTGTGTAGTCCAGAGAGTCTGGTAAAAACATGGATTGAATTTATCCTCAAATTAAAGTTGACTAATTTTTGCTTGCCAGCTATAACTTTAAATTACATACAGAAAAACAGCATTTTGTTAAAAGTTTTGTTCTTTATTACGTTGCAGAGTTACAGACAACCAGCTGCCTTTATAGTCACCCAACATCCATTGCCAAATACAGTCAAAGACTTCTGGAGGCTAGTGTATGACTATGGCTGCACTTCCATAGTAATGCTCAATGAATTGGACCTTGTACAGGTAGTTACAGTGACCTTGAAACTATTGGAAAATGCTGTTCCAAAGTTTAAACTATGTTAAAGCTTTTGCTTACTGAAACAATTCTGTTGTGTGGTTTAGTCATCTTAGCCACATAAATGGAGAGACTGACTATTGCTGTTGATAAAATAATTTTAAAAAATGCTCCAGTAACTTTACTCTGTAATATTAATTCTTAATGTAAAATGAAAGATTTTAAGTTCTGTTCCCATTTCTAGTTTTTTTTTGTATTTGGTCAATCAACTTAAAAAGTTTTTGGTTGATGTGGGGTGATTTAAGTTTTACTGTTTGCCATTCTGAGAAGTTGTTTTGTTGCACTTCAGTAAGATTTTATTTGAATACACCATCAAAAATCATTCACTGAACCATTCAAAAGTCAATTGAATGTTCAAAATATATTAAATGTTTGCATGTTAATATCCAGAATTTTTTGTTTAACTTGAGTTTGAGAAAGTCTTCTGAAATGCCACCATATTGCCCATTGTGCTTTACTTGCATGTTTCCAGAAGAGGTGGATTCATGGGGTCCCTGCACAGGATCAAATCATCTTCAAAGCATGTACACAAAGTTGCTAGCTTTGCATGAATCTGTTTGCCTTCGGACTTTTTTTTTTTCATTTTGGTCTCTTTACAACAGCCTATATTCGTTTTTCTAGCAGTAGTATTTGCAACTATATAGTAAACCTGATCACCCTGTTGATTCATTCTAAAATCTGACCAACTTGACAAGCATTTGAATTAATCAACCAGCATTGGCCTTAAAGTATACACTGCTCAGGAGCAAGGCACCTTCTAAGATGACAAGTGAGGTGTGAGGGAGGATGAGTACACAAGTGAGGAGACAAATGGGGAGGGGTAGGAGACGAAGGAAGAATATGGTGTGTGTGTGTGAGGGGTGGGAGGATTGGGCAGGGGGAATGTGAAAGGAAGAGCAAGCCAGGATTTGGTGTGAGGCCAGAGGGGAATGGAAGGCGTGTGAGGGGAGGGATGGTGGTGGTGTATGAGAAATGAGGGGTGGACAGATTTGAGTGTGAGAGGAAGGGGGAATGGACAGTCTGTGAGAAGAGGGGGAGCAAGGAGAGGAGGGGGTGGATGGGACAGTAAGTGAGGGGAAGGAGAGATGGGGTGTGAAGTGAGGGGGAGAATATGGATTGAGGAGGGAGGACGGGTGGGAGGGAGAAAGGTGTTCTGTGTGAGAAGGAAGGGAATGGGGGAATGCGAGGAGAAAAAAATGGGACAATGTGAGAGAAGAGGGAAGCACAGGGAGGGTTTAGAGAGTGTGAGGGGAGGAAGGAACATCAATGAGTAGTAGTAACCATTTGGTGCTGGAAAGGCAGCATTTATTGTTGACATTTTATTGCCAAGAGAAGATAGCAGTGGACTGCCCTCAAATCAGATTTGACATTTGACAACAGTGAAAAATATGAAATTTCAGCATTTGGAATGACAGGTTTTCAATAGTCTTGTCATTGTGGAGAATGAGGTTCTGGGTGTAAACCTGGTGAGTTGGTGCAACACTTTCTCGAGTGAGTAATTACTGTAGTCACAATGCATCTTTTGGGCAGAGCTGAATTTAGTCCACTTACTATTACTGAGATAACAAGGTGTAGAGCTGGATGAACACAGCAGGCCAAGCAGCATCAGAGGATCAGGAAGGCTGACGTTTCGGGC